GCTCTGTGAAAGTACTTTGTTGGCAGAAGTGTGTATAGAAATTCCTACAACAGGATTGCAGCTTTTGAATTAACAAATTCAGAGCAAATTTTTTTGATATTTACCCAGCAATTCATTCCTAAAACACAGTAAAAGGCTAACCCCAGAGGGAAGGGAACTAGGCTGCAAAGCCTATTGAAAATGATCAGTATTGAGTAATTTCTGTACATGGAACTGTATAAATACTAAGCGTTAGAGAAATGCACTCTAAGAATTAACTCCAGTTAATGGCTGTTCATTAATACAGACTTCTAAGTTAAAACAACATTTCAGGTATTCATGTGCTGTATGTGCAGAGAAAAAGTCCTAGACTAAAATTAGGGAGAGGAGTAGCCTTTTTGCTTTGGCCAGTGGAAGGAAACAGGTGTATGTGATGTGACATAGCAGACAACCTTGATTAGTGGGAGTACCTTCAGAAAAAAAAGAGTTGTTTGGCTAAAAACTGTCAGAATCAATACCACTTTGAAATGATTGTGTGTCTTGCCACATTGCCCTGCTAGTTACATGAATACATGGAAATATCCAAGTGTTTAGTCCAGGAACTTGATGTAAGGCAATTAGAACTAATAAAGGATCAAAATGTAGCTTCTTTTCATTCACAGGAACAAATGGTAGTGTATGAGATCAAATAGATAGGGGAGTCAATAATCCTTTCCCTATCGGCCTCTACCTCCTGTCAAAAAAAATCTGGCTTAAATAAGTCCTGGTCAGTGAGTCAGGATATCTAAAATCAAGGCAAAATGTTCAATATATGTCACAGTTACGAGCTACTTAACAAAAAAAAAAAGTGGTTTGCTACGAGGTTCAGCACCTGCTTTGGACAGAGTAATTAAAATTATATTTGAGACAGTCCTTTTACATGTTTCATCTCCTCTGGAGTCACAGACTTTCCAATGCCCCTTGGTAACAGTCACATCAATGGAGGAGAATTTCCCAGTGTCGGACTTTTTCTTTTGGAACAGCTTGTTGGCTCTGTGGAATCCAGCTGAGTCACAGGACATTCTTCCATGTGAGTTTAAATTGCTGAAAAAAATCATTGTGCCTTCAGTTCAACAAGTTAATTTTACCCTAAAAAATTAAGGTGGGTTGAAGTCCAGCTTATGATTTCCCTGCAGTCGGTAAAGATAGGAATATGTTGCAACACTGGAAGGAGTCAGCAGACACAATTTATTTTTACTAAGATGCTTGTTACAGCACAAAGTAAAGAACCCGCTAATAAAACTTGTTGGTAAGTTTCATACTTATCATAGCAACTCTGTAGAAAAAGTAACATGGAAAGGTTTTTGTTAGCTGCTGGAGTTTATTTTCAGAAAAAAATGTCGACACTCCCAACTAAAATTCTCTTTAAGAAATTGGAAGCTACAGAGAGCTGAGCTGATGAAACAGTTGTTCATCATTCCAAAACCCTGCACCCTTGCTTAATTCTAATAATAGTTATATATAATCTGCTTTGTGCTTTTCTTTTCCCTTTAATGTAAGAAGTTTAACAACTTCTGAATTTGAAGACTTTTAAAGCAAAGTATTTCTGTTAATGAAATAACCTGTTAATGATTTCACAAGTTTTAGAAATTATTTCCAAAAATATACTATCCTTCGATAATTAGGAAGGAAAATTATCTACCCTTCAGGAATTAAAATTAAAAAAAAAAAAGCTGTTTGAAGTCATTGATGCATGAATATGATTATCACTGAAGATCAGAAAAGTAATCTGTTCATTGGGCATCCATCATCAATGTGTGTGTAACTGCACAAGTCCCATTCCAGCCCTGTCAGCTGCTGAATGGAGCAATACTTTTTCCATTGTGCTGATGGATGTGGGTGCATCTTCTCAGCTCTGACCTCAAACTGAGCAGTAATGCTGCAACATAGTTCTGACATGTATTTCCTGGACAGGTCATTATACTTGACTGCACATCTTACACTGAAATGGGTCTCAATATGTAATAAAATTGCCTCAGCAATAAATAATACATTCTCATTTCAAAACGAATACCTTTGAAAATAAAGTAAAATAATGACATAGTGAATCAGAAAAATGGCCAGCTGGAGCAGGCTGCACAGCAGTGACTCAGGATGGTTATTAACCTGGACTGGTTTTATCTCCTGTTTCCAGTTTTCAGGCTCTGATCATTTTTATCTCCCCTTTCCAGTTTCTGGCTCTGATCATTCTCCATTATCTCTGTGTCTTGCTGCTACAGCTATCAGAGATAGATTTTATCATAATTGATTTATAAAAATTAAGTCTTACAGGGGAAAAAGGTCTGAAGGAATGAGGCCTTTGAAATGGGTGTATGGGAACTTTCTCCTGTTAGCAGGAGAATCAGTGGTGGGAGTTATGCCCTGCTTCAGAGGCACATGAACACTGGGGTTTGATCTAAGGAACTGCAGGTGGATGTGACCATGGTATGGGGGACAAAAATTGAGATGAGGATCTTCTGTGTGTCACAGGTCTAAAGAACACAACTATATTCTCAATCTGCTTTCTGTGTTAAAAGGCTGATGCTAAATAGAAAGGTCAAACATTTCTGTAAAACCAATGGTTTGATTCAGATTTTTGGCAGAGAGAAAAAGGGTCAAAGTGGCTTATTGTAGACTTCCCTTTTTTAAAAAGTAATGATGCACAGTACTTTACCCTCTCCCTTTTTAAAAGAAAAACATTGTCTGTAACATCACTTTAACTTGGTTGCCTTCTTTTTTAATTAAAAAAAAAATTAATAGATTTGAATTTTGAGGTTTTTTCTCTTACCTCTGTCTGAGGTCTCACCTTAAATGTCACCGGAGTCTGGCTGATACTTTTCGTTGGGTGCTGGGCATACTGCACGGGCATGCTGCAAATGGGTTCAGGGATAATGTAAGATGATGGAGTATTTGTTTCTTGCTGCTGGATTGTGATTGCCATTCAGCTTGAAATTGAGGAGTTCTCTGCTTTCCTGTTAATTTTTTTCCATTTAAATATTATGATAAATGCACAGGAAATGCAAATATTTTGGTGCAAGCATAATAATTTCATAAGCATTCACTGATTCTTCATAGCTGTTAGTTTTAGGAGAGAAGGGTCTGGTGTTTGCATCCCCTGTTGGGAAATATTCTCTGCCCATTCTGATATGGCTGGGAAAGGGAGCATGCTAAATTGCTAAAGTGAAATGCAATTGTTTTTTCCTTTTCCAAACATCCACTACAATATATAAGACATAGACAGTTGTGATGAAAGATGCTGCCTTAGTCATTTTCATTTTTGGAGGAGTGGCAAGAATGAAATTCCAGTATGAATGTTTCTCAAGGACATAAGGGATTAATATGTCTTAAAATAGACACCATTAACTTAGAAATGTATTTTCCACATTTGAATAAGAAAGATAGGGAGGAAATGGTATTTTCTTAGTTCTTTCAGCCTGTTTTGTGAATTTCAAGATAGTCTGTTTACAAGACAATTAAATTCTGTAGAATCTCAAGACCTGTTGCGGTTTTATGTGCTTAAGTAGTCATGCATGCTGCTGTTTTACAGGATTATTTTAGATTCTGGTGATTGCATGGCACCACAAACTCCTTTTTGCCAGTAAGACCATGAGACAACCAGGAGTGAGCTGTGGAGCACACACTGTCTTCAGGAGGATGCTGGTGAAAGTGGGGCCTGTTTCAACCACATGCTTTATGGGATAGGGATCTTTATGAATTGTCCCCTTCTTCTCCCGTGGGGCCTGTTTCAACCACATGCTTTATGAATTGTCCCCTTCTTCTCCTGAGTCTCCAGCAGCACAGTTTTTCTTCTTTTAGTTCAGTGTGCTGCCAGCTTGGTTACTAGCTCAGCTATTTGCTGCCAAGGTGGTTGGAAGGGCTGAAGTCACCAGGCCTGGCTGAGTTTCGGAGCGCTGAGCGCCCGCAGCGCTCCCTCCCGCTGCCCGGCAGTGTCGGAGAGCAGCGAGCATGGCACATTGTTTCTCCTGTGGGCCTGGTTATTTATTTCTGCATTCCCATTCATAATAGCATAATAACAGACTTGAGACAATAAGATAATTACTTCGCTTCTTGGGTGGTTAAAATTAACTGCGCTCGTTGCGTATTTATTCAGGAAAAAAATACAAGTTGTTTAGTGATTGCCCAGAAATTCATTATCTGCATAATGTTCTGTTTCTAAATGTGTATGGCATGACCGTTCATCTGTGCCAAGAGCAAGCATGCAGCACTATCTGATGTAATTAGTTTTCCCCTTACGTGCCAGGCAGAACATCTGGGCTAATTGTGTGTTGTTGACAAAAGTTGCTGTTCTAATGGAGGTCCCTGTTTGTGCACACACATGCTCATTATAGGTACAAACATGCTCATGATTTCAGTTCATCCTCAAGCTAACTGGTAGCTCTTACTGATGAGGTGCTCCTGGTGATTTGGGACTGGGGTCACACCATGTTTCTGGGCAGCTTTAGCAATTGTTAGGAGTAAAATGCTCTCAGTTTAAACAGAAAAGAGATAATTACTTCGCTTCTTGGGTGGTTAAAATTAACTGCGCTCGTTGCGTATTTATTCAGGAAAAAAATACAAGTTGTTTAGTGATTGCCCAGAAATTCATTATCTGCATAATGTTCTGTTTCTAAATGTGTATGGCATGACCGTTCATCTGTGCCAAGAGCAAGCATGCAGCACTATCTGATGTAATTAGTTTTCCCCTTACGTGCCAGGCAGAACATCTGGGCTAATTGTGTGTTGTTGACAAAAGTTGCTGTTCTAATGGAGGTCCCTGTTTGTGCACACACATGCTCATTATAGGTACAAACATGCTCATGATTTCAGTTCATCCTCAAGCTAACTGGTAGCTCTTACTGATGAGGTGCTCCTGGTGATTTGGGACTGGGGTCACACCATGTCTCTGGGCAGCTTTAGCAACTATTAGCAGGAGTAAAATGCCCTCAGTTTAAACAGAAAATAAACAAACCTGTAATGCTTCTGCTTCTGTTTTCTTTTTCCAGCCTCCACTGGTCCAGGCGATTTTCAGTGGTGATCCAGAGGAGATACGGATGCTGATCTACAAAACTGAGGATGTCAACGCCTTGGTATGTGACTGGCATGTTGTGCACCATGCTTGTGGACTGTGGCAATGGCAGTATTAAAAATGTCCTCAGTAATTAACACATAACAGAATGGAAATGATTGGGAAGTAAGAGATTTGGGGCTTCAGTGGTAACCTAAGTAGGAGTCAATGTAATTGTCTCCAGCAGATGACTTTAAATTTTCTAAGTGTATGGTAATTATTCCAAATGTGCAGGTCAGTCAGGGACATTTTTTTTCTCTTACTGAGAAAATGAATGAAAACAGCTGAAAATTGCATATTTTTACTCTCTGCAGGGCTTCCTTTTATGAAGAGTCTTTGCAGATCAGGAGCTGTTATGCATTTGACTCTACTTGAACTAAAGCTCCAGTATAATTCTCAGTAGTGAGAGTAAGGAAGCAGAATCTTGGCCACAATTTGCCCACAAAGGAATTACTGTTTTGCAGATGGGCTTATTCTAGCCAGAATGGTAAGCAGCTGTAAACAAGTAGTAGTTGAGTGCTTTGGCAGTGAAAAAAATATATCTCCAAGTCAACTTGGTCTTTTTTGCAGAAATTGGAGTGGGTTTTTTCCCCCTCTTTGATTTTAACTTCTATCCGAATTGATAGAAACAAGTCCTGCCAGTCCTGACTACAATATGTGGCCTCTCAAAGTGGTGAGAATATAAAGCAGAAGCAGAATGATCATTTCCAGGTGTTTCCTGGACTTTTGAATCAACCTTCCTTTACTTCATGTCTTTCTGTGATGTAAAACCATCACTTTATTCATTGCTAACTCCAGCGGTTGGTCTGGTAGGGTCTTGGCACTGCAGCATTTGCAGGTAGTGGGGTCCAACTGTGTGGTTCAGAGCTACCAAAAGGAACTAGAGAGGTGATCCTACAGATCTGGTTGATGGGGGTGCCACCCCAGTTGCTGTCCAGTAGAAAGAAAGACATGCCACTGTTTTAAATCTGATCCAAGACCTTCATGTTAAGCTTTCCCCATGATTATCATTGCCTGATTGTTTTCCTGCAAGTTCCTAAAAGTGCTTCCTTAAAGAATCATCTCCCTTGAATTTCCTCCTTCTTTGTTTTTTGCTGATGCTCTTAATAAGCCAAAGGAAAAAACCAAACCCAGCCAAAGAAAACCCCTTCAGCAAGGTAGATGAACACCACAGTCCTAAAATTTAATCCGTATTTCACACTGGATTTTCAAAGTAGTGTTTTCTGTATGAGATTACTGTGGATTTCTCCAATGTTTTTCTGTCCTTTGGCTGCAAGTGTGTTAGTGATGGTTGCTAGGGAGATGTTCTCAGCTGTCAGGTGCAAGATTAGATGAAGAACTCGTGTTTTGCAGATGAGTCCCATAGTTCCCAGAATGGTAAGCAGCTGTAAACAAGTAGTAGTTGAGTGCTTTGGCAGTGAAAAAAATATATCTCCAAGTCAACTTGGTCTTTTTTGCAGAAATTGGAGTGGGTTTTTTCCCCCTCTTTGATTTTAACTTCTATCCGAATTGATAGAAACAAGTCCTGCCAGTCCTGACTACAATATGTGGCCTCTCAAAGTGGTGAGAATATAAAGCAGAAGCAGAATGATCATTTCCAGGTGTTTCCTGGACTTTTGAATCAACCTTCCTTTACTTCATGTCTTTCTGTGATGTAAAACCATCACTTTATTCATTGCTAACTCCAGCGGTTGGTCTGGTAGGGTCTTGGCACTGCAGCATTTGCAGGTAGTGGGGTCCAACTGTGTGGTTCAGAGCTACCAAAAGGAACTAGAGAGGTGATCCTACAGATCTGGGCTCCACCCCAATTGCTGTCCAGTAGAAGGAAAGACATGCCACTGTTTTAAATCTGATCCAAGACCTTCATGTTAAGCTTTCCCCATGATTATCATTGCCTGATTGTTTTCCTGCAAGTTCCTAAAAGTGCTTCCTTAAAGAATCATCTCCCTTGAATTTCCTCCTTCTTTGTTTTTTGCTGATGCTCTTAATAAGCCAAAGGAAAAAACCAAACCCAGCCAAAGAAAACCCCTTCAGCAAGGTAGATGAACACCACAGTCCTAAAATTTAATCCGTATTTCACACTGGATTTTCAAAGTAGTGTTTTCTGTATGAGATTACTGTGGATTTCTCCAATGTTTTTCTGTCCTTTGGCTGCAAGTGTGTTAGTGATGGTTGCTAGGGAGATGTTCTCAGCTGTCAGGTGCAAGATTAGATGAAGAACTCGTGTTTTGCAGATGAGTCCCATAGTACTTAATAGAAAAAGTCATTGAATGGTTCTGCCCATTATTTTTCCCCCCGTATATTGCTTACAATGCTCAAAATCCACCCAAGAATGCTTTGCCTCCTCAGGAGCAAAACTCAGAGCTGTTCTTTGAAGTAATTAGAAATATACTGGTCAACACAAACTCTGAAGGTTGTGCTCTGAATAGTGACTGCAGGGAAGTGTCAATTGTTTGACAAATATCACTGAAGAAAGATGAAAAGATTTCCCCCTCATTGTGCTGTGAGCTGGCAATTTGCATTCCGTGCTTCTGTTTCTATTTTAAGGGTGTTTTTAATTACTTCCACATTAACATTTGGTTGCTCACATGAGAGGAAACTCTGACACCGTTTGGCAGAGATTTGTCCTTTGTTGATCATTTTGTTTGGCTGTGTTAACACTGGAATAGTTCAAATGTAGGTAGGACAGGGATACAAAGTAGAAGTCTGGTTTTGCAGTAAGCTTTGGGTATTTCTGAAGTTTAAAAAATCAGGGTTTTTTTAATCTCCATCAAGAGAAGTATTTGGAAGACAGAAGAAAAAGTGCATGGAGAAACAACACAAAATTAGGAATGCATGTGCAGATGTCCCAAGAGAAAATTAATCTCAGGAAAGAGTTTGAAGGAAATCAGAAGTTTAGAAGACTTTTTTTTTTGGTCTGGTAAAATAATTAGTAATTTCCCAAGCCAAGGACTTGTTTGTTGATGGAAATGGCTACATTCTGGATACTGCTGTAATTGTGACTTCCACTTCAAACACAGTGAAATCTGTTTGGATTACAAGTGTGGTTTTAATTCATTCTGCCACCGTAATTGTCATTTCAACCTCTCCAGTCCCTACCTGTGCTTTGGGGGCATGTGATGCCACTTGTGCATCCTGAGGGCATGGACCCTGTTACATGTAGCTGGCAATGAGCAATTCCCTCAGTATGTACACATACTGAGTACATGGGAAGTGTGGGCAGCATTCAGCAGCCTGTTTTCCCAGGACATTTGTGATGTCACTTGGGCAATCCAGACTGCCAGATGAGTTGCAGGTACACATCCTCTACTCTTGCTCTTTGGTACATTTCAAAGCAGCAGGGTGATTGTGCTATGTGTATGTAGAGGGGGATATTTTGGGGTACTGTTTTTACTTAGGGAAGAGTAGGAGAGAATGACCCCCAGAATCTAATTTGTATCCAGTTGATACCTCTTATTTGGGATTCATAATGCATGAGCTGTGCAGCACCTTCTGTCTGCAAAATCCAGTTGTTGAATGCAATGTTATAAACCAAAATCCTCCCTGTGAAATTTCCATTTTTATCTCAGTCTTCCAGTTTAGTTTCCCTTCAAAATATTAAAAAAAAAGTCATAAAGCCTTCCAGTATTCTTCCCCATAAGCGATGTGTTGTTTGCAAGTAATTTCATTCTCTCTGTTTTTATTTTTTATCCCCTGATGCTGTGTTTTCTCTTGGAGAGAACCCTGTTTCTAGCTGCAGAGTGTCTGCAGAAGAACAGGCAGCAGCACCAGCAGAGATTGCAGGGCCATAATACATGCAGGACCATGTATTTAGGGGGTGGTTTATTATGAGATAAAGAGGGAAGGAAGAAAGTAATTATGGAGACACATATATGTGTGCAGTTCATTACTTTTTTCCTCATTTTCCTGCTTGGAAAGGCAGAGATTTGCAGCACTGCCTTTGTCAGGAGGATTCAGGCTCATTCCAGGCCTTCCTACATGCACAAAAGTTCTGTGTATTCCTGTACTATTGCCAAGGAAGGTTTTGGAGGTGCTGGGAGTGCTTGAGGGTACAAATAGGCACATATTTAGGGTTGTGAGTCTGAAAGGTTTTGCATGTTTGGGATAGCTGAAGTGAGTATTTAGCCTCTAGTAGTGCTGTTTAATAGGCTGCTTATTTAAGTGGGAAGTGATGGAGAATTTTTTTTCCTACAGAAATTATGAACAATTCTCCATTGTATAGCAAAATTGAATATAAAATTACACTGATGTTCTCAATGCAAGGTAACTAGCGTGACTTCTGTTTAGATAATTTTTTTTGGCTTAGATTTTTTAAAAAAATACTTTATAAAGAAAATATTTGAACTGTGAAGAAGATTCTGCTGGAGAGACTGAGTCTGAAATATTCTGGGTTGCAGTGCAACAGCGTGGTAGTGTAGTAATGGTTACTATGTTATATATATCTATATATAAATCTGTGCTGGTGACTCATCTCATCAGTTGGAGGCAGTTAAGGATGTGCAGACCACTGAACTCTCATGGCAGGGTTTGGCTGTAACTGCATTATTGTCTCCAAAGGTAGCAGTATCAGCCTGAAATACTTGAATTTTCTAAATCTTTTGCCATCCTGAGTGATGTGTTCTCCCATGCTTTAATACCCCCCATCCAAAGTCAATACTGTGCTTATAAAAGTGGAGGAATTGTTCAAGTCTGTCTTTTGAGTCTTACAGTGAACACCAGTAATCATCAAAATATTTTCATTCTTTAGGATAAAGAATGGTCCCAATCTGGAATTAGTAATGGAATTAGTTCTATGGTCCCAATCTGGAATTAGTAATTAATTTCTAAAGTTAGGCTTTTCTGTCACTGTCAGCCTCATGGAAGGCAATTGGTAGATAAGGGGGGAGAAAAAAGATAATTTTTCTTGTTCTGAAAAATCAAAGTATTTTCCTCTTCTACTTCATGAACACTTGGAAATTTAAGACTCAGCCCAGAAAAATTTTTATTTCTGAGGCTGAACTGAAGTAATTAGAAAGATACTGGTCAACACAAACTCTGAAAGTTGTGTTCTGTGGGATGAGAGGTACTGGAACGAGGATCTGCATTTTCAGATGGGAATTTCTGTTATGATGCAGAAGAAAGAGCACAAAGCATAAGTTACACAGCTTGATTTTCACCTTCACCTGTGGTTCTCACAGCCAAACATATAGATTTATTCTCTGAATTACAGGCTTTAACAAAAGAATGTATGAGGAGGAGGTTGAAGCAGCAGAGATTTTCTTGGTACACCATCAGCTTTTGCCTCCAAACAGTTGTAAATAGCCCAAGAAATAGGTGCAAAGGCTATCATAAGCTTTTAGCCTCTTCAGTAGTTACTAACAGTTACCAATATTTAATTTTTCTGAAGATAACTTGTATCTGAAATTTTTTTAATGATTGTGATATTTAAATGAGGTGTACTCAGGTATAAAAACTATAAATGGAGTGAATGAGCAGGAGGTTTGTATCTGTCATTGTTTTGGTTAGACTCCATCAGTGGAAGTTATATTCATTAATGTGCTTTTCTGCCACCCAAGTACATTTTGAAGGTGGTGGGAATCCAAAGGCTTCAGTAACTCTGTTTCTGTGGTGGATTAAACTCCTTCTGTAAACTCCAGCTATTCCTGTTAACTGCTCAGTCAATTTGGTGACAAAGAAGGATTCATACATTTATTTTCTGCAGCAGTTGCATTTTCATTTTAATAGTAAGCAGCTCTGTCCTAAGCATCACCTGATCTGAGCAGTTGCAGTTGATATCAAAATTCAAATCCATTATCTCCTTTGACAGGTAGGCTGTGTTGAGGACAAAATGTAGGCCCTTTCCTTAATGTGCCTGATAATGTTACATGTGCTGATATGATTCATTCAGCTCACTGTTCTGCTAATCTTGATGTACCTCAGGCTCTGATCCAATAAAGCACTTAAGTACTAGTCTAACTTTAAGCCTGTGAGGGCCTTATCTGTGCCACTGTGATCACTTGAACAGTTTAAGCAAGTGTTGAGTGTTTTTCTTGCTGAGGCCTTCTGTTCCTGATTGCCTGGCTGTTAAATTCTTAGTTTCTTTTATCTGTATCTGTATTATTAAAAAAAACAAGGCATGTTAACCTGCATCATCATCTTTTCTGTGAACTAATGTAGTCTACTAATGCAGTTTTCATAGAAGCATAGAATGCTTTGTGTTGGAAGTGACATTAAAGATCATTCCAAACTCCTGCCATGAAGGACACCTTTCCCCTTTCACTGGACCGGGTTGCTCAAGGCTCTATCCAACCTGGCCCTGAACACTTCCAGGGACAGGGCATCCACAGCTTCTCTGCACAGCCTGTGTCAGTACTCACCACCTGCACAGTAACTAATTTATTCTCAGTATCTAATCTAAACCTGCCCTCTTTCAGCTTGAAGCCACTTCCCCATGTCCTATCACTACACTCCCTTGTCAAAAGTCCCTCTCCAGCTCTCCTGTAGGCCCCCTTTAGGTGCTGGAAAGAGAGTTTATCTCATCTCAGTATGATTTTCTAGCCATTGTTTATAGCTTATCTACTGTCTCTTGCTGACCTTTTGTTCTTCTGAGAACTGCACTTGAAGCAGGTCTGATTATTTCTCTTAATGCTTTTTGTAATCCTGTTATCATTTCTTCCCCCACTTACTCTCCTTGCCCTGATAATGTACATTGAGGTTTGGGGTTCTGCCAAGCCTTTCCTTGAAAGGACAATTTTTATCCCTCTCTCTGTGTGTAGCCTTCAGTCTTTAGGTCATTATTGATTCATTTTTGTGCTGTTCCCAGCAGTACAGGATGAGGAGCTGGAGCTGGATGAGTGTTGGGGTGCTGGGTGCTGAGCCAGAGAGCGAGGAGCTGTGGCTGTGAGGGATCAGGGCTCTGAGGGGGACACATGGCTGTGGTGGGACAGACAGACAGAAGCCTCAGTTCCTCTGTTGGGGTACCAGTGCTGTGCACAGTCTGAACAGGAGCTCGAGGATGTTCTCCAGTGAGTTGTTCACTGCATGTTCAGCTACAGGTGTAGTGTGTGGGTTTCTCCCTGCCAAACTCCTGAAGATGTTGCCTGTGTGCAAGTGAATGCTGATTTGTGCCTGGTTGTGATAAAGGGAGAAATTTTAGTTTTTTTTCCTCTTGGAGAAATAAAGCTTAAATTCAGTTTTGTGACTAACCTTTCTTTCTCTGAAAACTTGATTTGCACTCAATGTTATATGGCTGAAAACTGAAAGCTTGGAAAGCTTACAGTTAGTTATTCCTGCTACAGAAGAGTAAAATTTTCTATTTCATGTCCTTTACTCCCTCAGTTATGAAATTTGCATCAGATTTACAATTTAATACAGAAATTGCTTATAATCAACAAAGCACTGGGTAGCCTTGGTTCTATGACACAGAAAATTGCTTGGCCTGGTATCATTAACATTCAACTTCCAAGTGCTCTGCCCTTGCCAAACTTGGCAGTGTTGCACTGACAGGTACAGTGGCTATTACAAGTACTGTGTTGTACTAGGGAGAGCTTCATGCATTAATAACAACAAACTAAGAAAAAACTGGTTCTATTGTTGAATATATGTTTGATCAGTCAGTCAGTAATTTTTTGCCAGGTAGCCTTAGGACAGGGAATATGAAAACTATGGAAGATCTCACATGTACTTATGTAGCCTGTAGAAGCTGTTCTGTGGTGTTAGGAATGAAACATGTGAGAGTAATTTGTAATTCTGGTTCCTGAGTGAACACTGCTGCATGGACACTGCTTAATATTCCTTTGATTTGCCTACCATGTGAGAAAGTGAATTCCTGTAAGAGATCTTCCCCTCTGACCTGTGACAGAGTTTTATGTAACCAGTCTTCTGAGAGTTTCATCTGCATGCCCAATACCCAAGATAAAAACCCAATGCAGCAGAATTTGAGGATTATGTGCATGATGTATGTTTAAAAAAACCATACAAACACAAAAATGGAACATGAACTGTTCTGGTGAGCAGTGGCTCTGTACTTCTCAGTGATAGGAAACAATTTTCAACATTCCCATGACAAATGTTTCTGCTGCACAGATTTGTCCACATTTATAGCATACTTTGAAGATACTCCAAAATAGCTTATGGTTGATGATTGCTTGGGCATGTTGAAAGTGATATTTTCATGACAGGCTCAGAGATCTTTTTCAGGGACAGGGTGTAAATATTGGTAGGATTTCTCTGTTGATACTGTTTGCAGGAAGTGTTGAATTTGTTACCAGTTTAAAATATTGAATGCTTGTAGGTTGCAATAAGTTGGATTGCTAAGGTATCTTAGACCTTATTTTTGTGGTTCAGAAACCAAAAGAAAATACATTTAGGACTGGAAACAGCACAATGGCCAGTATTAGTTCTTGTGATTGTTGCCCATATTGTAGTATTTAGCAGTTTCTTTTAAAGGCCTGTGTTCTGGAGTCAGCTGAATAAAGCAATAAAATAAAGGGGTTTCTTGAACACTATTTATATCCCTTGAAATAATAATAATAAAAATAAAAAATATTTAAAATTGACTCCTTAATTTTGAAAATTACAGAAATCAAAAAACCCCTAGATATATTTCAGAAGTTATATATATCTCTTAGCAATTCTTCTAAGTTTAAAGACAAATTTGATTTGTAATACTTTATTTATGTTTAAAGGTCAGTCAAGATGTATATGCCCATCTTGGGCTGCTGTAGATATCCAGGCTAAGGTGTAAAAGAACCTTTGCAGACCAAGAAGAGTTTGCATCTTGACCTTGTGTGTGGTTCCAAATATTTCTCCTGAGATATCCTTTTGAAGACTCTGGTGTTGTAATGTTGATGCAAACTGCATTACAAAGTCTGATATCCAGAAGCATCTGGATTATGTTGCTGTGATACCTAAGAGTGGAAAATGTTTCTGAAAGAGACCTAAAGCTGCTGTCTTTGCTCATTTTAGCTTTGATTTAATCTACCTGGAACAGGATATCAGAGTAAAGGCAACGTCTCTGCAAGGTCTGGTGGAAATGAGTGATAAAAATAGAGGATTATTGGGAAGAAGTGTATTGTTGAGGTCTTGAATTTTGTTCTTTCACTGGCTGAGATTCCATTTCTAACTACAAACAGAAATGTGCATAGAAAAATCAATATATATAAATTCTTTGCTCTTTAACACCAATGGCTGCACTTACTGACCATGTTTTATAACTGGACAATCTGTGGTTTTGTAGGATGCTGAGAAAAGAACACCTCTTCATGTTGCATCGTTCCTGGGGGATGCAGACATCATTGAGCTTCTCATTTTGTCAGGTAAGGTACAGTCCCTCACTGCTGTTAACTGGTAAATCAGCAAATTTCAAAGCTACAAGGAATACCCAGCAAAGCCTATATGAGGGAGTTTTGGGCATTGTTTATTTCTGAGTTTCACAGAGCTGGTTGCATTTCTTGCAAGCTTAGAAAATATATTCAAATTTGGTGATAAAATTTAATGTGATGCGACTGAGAAGAATTAATAAACAAAGTAACTAGCTTTTAACAACTTCTAAAGCCTTCAAACTGAGAGTATTTATGATTCAGAATCTTGCTGAAGTACATATTTGAAATGTGGCTTCATATCCTGGAGTACAATCCAAGAATTCCTGTTAAGCAAAAATTATGGAATAAGAGCAAAAAAATTATTAATCAGCTTAAATTAATTGTAAGTGCTGTTTACATTAGAAGCATGTTTCTAAGAATCAGGAAGTTTATTTGGATATTAGAAACTGTGTAGTAGGAAGTATCTAAACAAAAGAAATGAAAAAAAGTTTCTCAACTGTTGTAGTGACAGAAAACACAATCAAAATATGTCAGAACAAAGCATAAAGCAGTCATCTCTCAAGAAGCGAGCATAATTCATGGCAAACTCCTGGATGTGCTTGCAGATTTCAAAGGCAGTGTTTTTCTAAACTGAAGAACTGTAAGAGTAAAGCTTGTGAGGATTTAAGAATCTGGGACTGAAAGGAACCTTATGGTACAAACTTCTAACCCCTTGCAAGCAACCTTGCTACACAGTTGGTTTCACAATTTCTCAGACAACTTCTTCAAATGAATTCCATTTAAAAAAAAAAAAAAAGTTATTTCAGAATTCTCAGCCCTTTGATTACAAGGTACCTAATTTTCAGCTTTGAATCCTAGAATAATTCAGGCTGGAAGGTATTTCTGGAGATTACCTGATCCAGCCTCCTGCTCAAAGCACTGAATTTCAAAGTCAGATCAGGCTGTTGCTGGGTACATGCAGACCACATAATCATATTTCTTTGGCTTGCCAGTCTAGCCAGACCTGGAGAAGGCAGAAAATGAGAACTCAGTTTGCTGTAGCTGTGTTTCCTCTGTTCATTTTGGGGGAATTCTGGGTTGCTTAATTGCTTAGTGAGGGTAACTAGCTGGATGTACATCATATATCAGCTCTGTCTGCTCTACTCCTGATGGCAGCAGAGTGGTTAAAAAGAGCAGTGCTCTGCTGACAGGTTATCCTTGAGTGGGTTTTTAATGTGCTAAATGCAAGCACGATTTTCTTCCTTGGGAGGAAGGAGTTAATAAATTTAATCTGTGCATGTATTCTTGCAGTTTGTGTTGTTTGTTCCATTGTGGTGTGAGGAGATTGCAGGAGCAATGTGTTTTTTCAAGTTTTGCAAGCATCAGCACAGGCAATATCCTCATAAAGAGAAAGATGAAACAGTTTTGCTCATTTTTGCCAAACAGCATCCAAAAATGTCCCAGTGAACATTCCTGATGAGGGAAGAAGGCTTTCTAGAGTTTTTCTGGGACACTTAGTTCTAGCACCTCTCTTCCAAAATGTCATCCATGGCTTATAGGCTTTGTCTGATCAACAGCATAAAATGTAGGTGATGCATCTTGGGGAACTTTTATATATCCAAGTGAGTGTGAAAAACTTATAATGTGGGCTTTTAAAAATCGAACTTTGTGTCAGTGGGACTGTGCTTGGGTTCAGTCTGCAAGAACTGTGTGGACCTTTCCCACTAGCTCATCATGAGTCAAAATTAATTTTGTGTAGTATGTTCTTCTTATTCATTGTTCTTTAATTTCTGAAGTTCTTTAATTTCAGAAATTAATCATCATTACTCATGATGAGCATGAGTACTTTTATCCAAGAGCAGGTTTGGAGGTTTCTGAGAATTGGAGGAGCAAGTTTATGACTTGTTATAAACACCTCTTTGTGACTGTGATCTCTCCATGAACTAGGCTGCAAGTGCAGCATCTTCCTTTGCTTCACCTCTTCAGTCAGCAAATGGTAGTAGTGAAAGTGTATCATAAAATATTAATATGAACATAACATTTAGTTACATAAGCAGAAAAACTTTGTTGTCTGGCTTAAAATGCAATGGTTTCTCTCAATGCAGTCTCTCTTTTGACAGAGAGAAAGCACACAAACACTTGCTGTTGGTATCAAGCAATATTCTCAGCATGAGTAGAAGCTAGGAGCAGTATCAACACATTTCATTTTGTAGAGTGTTCAGGAGAGAAATTAAATTAAATTTATTAAATTAAATTACCTTCTGAGGTTGTGGTCCATAAACTGGTGGTGGCACAAATAAATGCAATGTCTAATGAATGAAACTTCTGCCCAGGTGGTTGGAGACAGACCAGGAATGGCTTTCTAGGTAGCCACTGGAATGGTCTCTGTTTGGAACTGGTACAGGAGAGAGAGTTCCAGATCCCTCAGCTGCTGTGAGTCACCCTGGCCCATTAAATGTCAGAGCCAGATAGGTCTACACCAGCTCCAAGGTCTGATCCATAATCAGATGGTTCAAACTGGGGAAAGGGTGCTGAGTGCTTTTGTTTTTCCAGGCTGCATGAAAGCAAGGAGCTTTGAGTACTTCTTCACCTCCTTTCTGTCAGAAAGGAGAAGGAGCAAGGTAACCATCTCACAGAAGGAATCTCTGTATGATGCCATTAGTTGTGGATGTGCAGGAGCAATTGTCTGGGCAAATACAACTGCATTCCCATTTGGGCTGCTGCCTCAGGGCATCATGTTTGAGCCCAGTCCCTTACCCCTTGTTCCCCACCTAGGCACTTGCCATCTTGGCAATATTACCTTCCTTTACTATTTCAGAAGGCTCTGGGCTTCTTGCCAAGACGCTGTCCTTACATTTTGTTGGGCCTCTTGCTGTGTCTTACAGGAGAAGTTGGAAAGGTGCAAGGAAATAATGACATTTATAGGTTAAAGACTACAGTTTTCTTCCTCCATTGACTATCCCTAATATTGGAGATTTTGACTGTGGAATCTCGAGATGTGGATTTGGCAGATGTGCTGGATGGAAAACTGTACTTTGGTTATGATAAAGAGATGTTAACTTTATTCCTGAAAGCCAGCATCGAGTTGTTTGTTTCAGACCTCAAAAGAACAGCGGCAGTTTCTGATTTATTTCCTCTTCTGGCAGAAAAATTTGAGTGTGAAAAATGGCAAAGATTACAAAAGAGCCATATTAAAGAAAAGTAGAATACAGAAAGTTTTCTCTCTGTTGATTTTATCTGTAACGTTATATGTTATTTTGTCTTCTTCAGCCTCACAAAGCAAATCCCTACAGCTAAGCCTTTCTGTCAGGCTCAAGAAGAGCATGGTGGAGATGGTGAAGCTGAGGAAAGGCTTTACTCTGAAGAGCTTCTTTTTTAAAAGTGGATATTTTATAGGATGGGTGGGTTCTGTGGCTATCTGAAAGGACTTAAAGTGAAATCTTTAAAGCAACTTCTATTTTCAAGGAAGATTGTGCCATGAATGACACAATTTACATCAATTTGAGTGGTTTTCAGCCCTCTTTGTCCTTATAGACACAGAGATTAATTCGTGGAGTATTGTAGGAAGTGCACTGAAATGTGGTTAAGGTACTTGGTCCAGAGTGAAGAGAGGGACATTGAATTTCTGGTTGACTTGGAGGATGTCTTGTGGGATAGTCTTGAGAATTTAAGCTTCTAGGGTTTGTACACAGCCCATTTTAGATGTAGTAGCATGTTCTAGAGCACTTAGTCTTCAAAATTGGATTTCTGTGTTACTCTTCTTTCAAAGGGCTGTCCTCAGGGCTGTCACAGGATGGGCCTCCAAGTTCCTGGAGTGCAGAGGACACCTTTGAAACCATGAGCATTGCTCTCCCAGTGCCTCTGCTTGATCATCCTTAAAATGACAGATATTTTCTGTCCCCAAATGAGGGGGGACAGAAAAGTGAAGTTTTTTCACTGTCGTTAACCATTGCCTGCGAAGAGCTGCTGGGAACCTAGAAGCTGAATTTTGGTGAAGGAAGTGGCAGTACAAGAGGAAATGTTTTGAAACGTCTCTTCAGAAGATGTGCATCTCAGCAAATGCACAAGAGCAAGTTCTGTAACAGGCAATGGGTGAATTGTGTAGCTCCTGAAAAACAGAAATCACAACCATATTCAACTGATGCACTGCATTAGACACCTAAGAGCAATTTCACTGCTTCACTTAAAGAGGCACAAAGGTAAAGGGATGTGGAAAACAGCTGAGAAAGAAAAGGCTGATAGTGTGCTCTGTATTATTTTATTTACACTGGTCTTGTTTTCCTTCTACTATTTTCTTCAGTTGCTTTCTTGGTAACTATTTCAGTTTCTCAAAGGGTAAGTGGATCAGTGAAGGGCATGAGTAGCTACTGATGGAGATGCTTCTCTTGGTTTTCTCATCATCTTTGTACTCACCAATGCTGCTGGAGTTGTTAAATACTGAGGAATAATGTTGGTCATGCTTTGCTACTCTACATATTAGCCTTTCCTATTTGTAACCCTCTGCTTGTAGGAGTTACTGAATGGGTAGAGATAAAACCAAAGAAACCTTAGTTAAGAACATAAGGCAAATAACCCCAAGGCAAATACAAAAACAATTTCTAAACCCAAAAAGAGGTATTTGCTGTCAATCATCAGGAATTCAAGTAAGCAGTTTCCATCTCCAAGACCCCTACCAGACCAAACCAGGATAATGGAAGGGTGCCTTGAAGTCCTGTCAGCTTCCTGATGGTGAAGAAAGTCATTGCTTTATTGGTCTCTAGAGCCTCACAGAGTGCAGGCAAAGGGCAGGATGCTAATGTGTCAACTGTAATGGCCTTCTCACGAAGAAAAAAGAAGGCAAAAGCTTCCTTGCTTAGACAGATTCATTAGAAAACTATTTTAAATGGTGTCTTTTCTAAAGGGTTTTTTCCCAGAGGGCAGGTTGTGCCACCAGGTACCAGTTTCTGAGGTGAGTTTGGAGGATTGCCTCTAATTGTTGCAGTAGTTATGAAAGTGGCCTTGTTTTCTTGCAGCCAAAAAAACTGTATCCTGACTTGTGGAAATGTGCAAGAACTTGTTTCTTCTCTGATTATCTAGCATGATTCCCAATAACCACTGTGATTCACAGGCAAGCATCTTAATATTCCTAAGAATCAGCTCTCAGAAAGTACTGGTGATTCAGGGAGTGGGATTTATTAATTACAGCCTTTTGAATGCACTTATGGTGCAAAATGAACCTTAAGCATCCCTTTGTTCATGAAGTTCAGAGGCTCAGCCAGGCTGTGCTTCTCTACATATTTTTCTGCATGTGCCGCCCTTCTCAGACTAATACTGCTACCTGCAGACCTGTGAGGTACAATAATTTTTTAAAAATTAGTTTCTCTAGTCCTTATCACTAGATGTTCTTCCTGAGGTATCACGTCAGTGAGTAGCTTTAGTATTTCTTGCAAAGAAATCCTTTTGATCACATACATGAATAGGATACCTTTAAAAAAAATGGGGTCTGAAGTCAGCCAGAACCACTGTGGTTGTCAGATATTCTTCCTTTATCCTTTTTTCTGACAAGCCAGCCCAAATCCATCCTGTTGCCCAGCTGCCCTTGTCAGAGCACCTGTTAGCACTGAACTGCACAGGAGGCAGATGAGTTCTGTTCTTCATCCCTGCTCTTCTGTTGTTTGCCCAGTAACACCCACAGAACCTGATGTAGTGAGTGCCCAGTTCTGGCTCCAACCTGAGCATTTCCTGGTTCTGTTTTCTTGATCCCAGCAGGATCTGTGAAGCAGGGAAGTGGTTATTTTTTGGTGGTCTGCCTGATGGAGCTGGAAACAAGAGGTGTTTGCTCAGGCTAGTTCCTTTCATGTCTGCAGATGGCAAAGTGCTTTGAGCAAAGGGTGCTTTTCTTCCCCCGAGCTGTATCAGTTGATCTAAAAAAATGCATCTTCATAGATACACATGTATGTGCATACATAGGTAATTCCTTCCAACAAACCTTGCTTCTTCTGGGTCCTGTAAACAAAGCAATTCCTAATAATGGTCTTATCTAGCTGGTTCCTTTCTTTCCAAATCCTGCTTTGTGGCCGCATTTCTCTTCACAGAGAAAAGCAAGGCACAGCTTCCCAAGGATTTTTTCTGGGAATCGCAGTGAGGCACCTCAGAGAAAGAAAAAACAATTCTTATCTCAATTGCTGCTCCTCCTGTTGTGCTCATGTGGAATGTGTTCTGGAGATTGTTTACCTGTGGTGACCAGTTGCATCCACGTGTGTGTATTGGGACTGTCGGCTGACAGTCACGAGATTTTGTTCTGTTGAGTGCTTGTGCAGTTTCAGTTTAGCTGTGGTGCACTACAGTATGGAATAATATAGTATAATAAAGTAATTAATTAGCTTTCTGATATCATGGAGTTAGATGCATCATTTTCCCACTCGGGGGCACCTTGCAAATCCTGCTTTATCTGTCTGACACCTGGAAATGCATTTTCAAGGTGAACATGGTGCCAGGAGAGTCCTGGGGAGCACTGAAGGTACCATGTACTCAGCTCTGGCTACTGGGAAACAGCTGGGCAGGGCTCTCAGTGGCACACCCAAGGTCTGCATGTAACCTCTGCTGTTTATTTGCAGGCGCTCGTGTCAATGCCAAGGACAATATGTGGCTGACTCCTCTCCATCGAGCAGTTGCTTCAAGAAGTGAAGTGAGTAAGATTTGATTACCCTGCTTTTACACATAACCAACGTGCTGGGGGAAGAGCAAACCCTGCAGAGCCGTGGTAGGTGGCATGGGCATGCAAAGAGGGAAGGCATTTCCTGCATGCAGGGCACTGCAGCTGGAGGCCAGCATTTACATGTTACCTGTAGCTGCTCTTGAGCCTTCATGTGCTTGATTCCCACCTTGCTTTATGTTACCACAGCAAGTCACGGGGAGCAGTGAGCAGGACTCACATGGGATAGAGTCCACTGTAGTCTACAGAGCCCACATCATCTTCTGATGGTGAAAAAAGAGGAATACATCCCTGTGGGTGTGTGCATGCTGTGTGTGTGCCAGAAGGGAGTGGATGTGGATGTGGATGTGATCCAGCATGCATTACCACATAATTTGTTTTGGTTAATTACATTTCAAGGCATCCATTAGGTTTTCTGTTAATGCATTTGATTCATGCAGAAGTGGGGGCTTGCCCATATTTCTTCTACTTGACAAACAGAAATATCCTGGGATCATGTTGTACCTCTTCCATTGCTATCTTAAAAGGGAGCAGCAATAACTACTGGGAGTGCAGCTCAGGCATTGCTCTGTTTCCAGCTGCACCATTATTCTTGGCTTTCCTTTGTGGACCTCCCTGTCTACTTTCACCCTCCCAGTACTTGGTTACCAGTGAGCCCAACTGCAGACCGAATTGGCTGCTGGGGATGAGGGGAGGGGTTGTGAAACAGACAGAGGGTGGCTGTCTTCCAGAGCCTGATGGACTCGAGTCACCTCTGTAACAATCCAGCGCTTGCCAAGCCTGGATGCAGGAATCCTGGGCTCGCTTCTGAACTCGGGCATTGTTTGGCTGCTGGCTGAGCTTCCCAGCTGCTGGCATCCCCTGAAACCCTCTGAAAGGAATATCTGATAGACTGTGAATGCTGTAATGAGGCAAAATACAAAAAGCCATGTTGGAAAACAAAGATCAGACTTAAACCTTAAAAAACAGCCACAGTCTTTCTGATGCGGGAATTGCAGTGTGCTTGGTTTCTGGTTTTGGATGTGTCAGAGTACATGATTTTTATCATCAGCCACAGTCCTAGCAGAAAATGTATGTCTTTCTGTGGCTTTGTGTCTCATCTTTAACTCTTTGTCAGCTGAAGCACAATGAGAAAGTGTGCTGGCAGTTCTGGTACCTCTCAGTGAGTACTCAGGTGCATTAGTGAGGCAGCAGGGGAAGGCACCAGCCTTTGATCCCTTGTCATGGTGTATTTCATAAACACATTCAGCTTTCTTCTCCTAGCATTTTTAATTCATTATTTATACTGTAATTGCTACTTTTGGTAACAAGTTGGAAACAGAATTTATTATTTTTGAGGCTCTTTCAGTGCTGCTTTTTACCTTCTTACACAAGTGAACAAATGTGCAGCTTTGATGGTGACAGTAATAGATAGCAGTAGGTGAATTCAGAGTTCCCGTTGATAGAAGAAGATGAATTAGTGGTCCAGAAGCTGACCAGTAGGACTCAGTGTAGTTTTGGAAGTTCTTGTGAGCACAGTTGTTTTTAGAATGATCACCAAAAAATTTTAAGTTTTATTATCAATCTTTCACTATGAAGATTTCAGAGGATTCAGAAGTTATCTCCTTGAATCCTTTTATATGTTGATTAAAAGAATGGACTCTTCTTTACTTATGTCTTAATGATTTTTCAAGGGCTTTAGGGATTCATATTTATTTACAAATTAGCAACACTTAGGATGTCTTTCTAGGATTGTTAATGGATATATCAACTTCTGGCCCTAAGCAGATTGAAAAAGGTTAGAGATTTCACTGTAATAGCTTGGGATGGCTAGAGACACTGACTGCAGAGGTTTACACCATAGCTGGGCACTGCATGCATATGGAGAAACTATAATAAAAGGGTAAAGCTCATGCTCTAAAAACAATAGAATTAAAACTTTTCCATAAGGATTTAAACTTTTGATCCCAAATCTGAAAGAGCAGCAGACTGCAGATGTAAACAGAAATGCGTAAATATTTTTCTTTTAAAATCTAAGTATTTTTAGCTTCGGATATTCAGTCCTTATTATTTACTTCTAAAAATTCTCCTTTGAATTTTTTTTTCTTTCACTAAGAGTGCATGAAGTTTCCTTCTGACTTCATGTCCCAGCTGCGTAGGTCTCCAGTGGATTACATTGAAATTACTCTTAAAATAGTAGGCCTGTAATTTAAAAAAACAAAATCCTCTTGAGACATCAGCAGTCATATATTATTATTGGTGCTGTAAGAGATGCAGTCATTCACTGAACAAATCTGTTAGAGGAGAGTTTGTGAGATGGTTGTAGAAAATGAAACTGCTGAGATCAGTTGAGGACAAAGACATAAAACTCTCAGTATGTGTGTAGTGTTGATACAGACTGCAAGCACTCTCCTGGCCCATTCTAGATATAAAAGTACTAAGTAAACATAGTGTATGCATTTGTTATTCATTAATAAAATTTTGGCTGGGCTTAACAGAAAACTTTGCAGTTTATGGAAAAAGAATAGGGTACTATGTAGGACTAGGGCTTTTCCACATACCAGATGTGAGTTGAATTTATCAGACAAGGCTGCTTGAATGCTACTGTGTCCCAGTAGTTCCTCTGTAATTTTTTTTTTTTTTGGGGGGGGGGAAGGAAGAAGAAAAGAAATGCAATTTTGAGAAAAAATTGTGGGTTTTATCTGACTTGCTTAATGGCAGATGCATGAGTAGAAGCAGAAATGAACCGATTGTGAGTTCTTCAGCAAGAGGGGTCTCAAGAGAGAACAGTACATTTTCTCACTGGGAAATATTTACTTTTAACCAACAAAATTAACCTTAAAAGATGTTGTTTGGTCTCAGGCTGACAGAATGGATATTGCAGTCAAGACCCTTGGCCTATGCTTAGGCCTTGGGGAGGAAAGGAATGCTAATGCTAAGCTGGGGACACCAGCATTCTCATGTTTTTGCAAAGCTAAAATTTTGTTTTCACATGTTCTTCTTTATTTTCCCCTTTTTCCTGTTTATAAACAAAATGTGCAGCATTTTGCCGTTATTTTGACGTGCTTTTATTTTTGTAAATTATTCCTGTAGCAGTGTGTGTTGGGTTTGTGTGACAAGGATGTGGTAGTGGAGGGCATCCTCTGTGAGAAGCTGCCAGAAGCTTCTTCATGTTGGACAGAGCCAGTGCCAGGCAGCTCCAGGGTGTCCTGCTGCTGGCCAGGGCTGGGCCCATCAGTGGTGGCAGTAATGGCTCAAATGAATTCATTTCTTCACTGCAAGCACAGCTGTGAGGTTAATCAACCAAACAGGATGGGCTCTCTGCACAGGCAGCTTAGAACAACCTCAAATCCACCTGGCAGGTTTTGACTGTGAGGCCACTTCTCTCAGTGGCAGCAGAGGTGATGTGTCCCGGGCCACCTGAATGGACAGTGCCATTGCAGAGGCCTGGGAGGTGGCTTGGATGGCTGCTGTTCTCTGTGCCTCCGTGACACACCGGTCGCGTGCCGGAGCTGCCGGGGCAGCGCCGTGCGTTCCCTGGAGCTGCTGGGTGACGGCCGTGGCCGTGCTGCCGTTGCAGGAAGCCGTGCAGGTGCTCATCAAGCACTCGGCCGATGTCAACGCCCGGGACAAGAACTGGCAGACCCCGCTGCACGTGGCGGCCGCCAACAAGGCGGTGAAGTGCGCGGAGATCCTGATCCCCCTGCTGAGCAGCGTCAACGTGTCGGACCGCGGCGGGCGCACGGCGCTGCACCACGCCGCGCTCAACGGCCACATCGAGGTGAGCGCGCCAGCACTGCACTGCCCGCTCTCTGCTGGGCTCATCCACTGCCTTCCTGCTAGTCTGAGTCTAGTGCTAGTCTAGACTCAACTCTAGCACTCAGTCTAGATCTGCTGTGTCTGGGTCTAGACTGAGCCCCATGTCCCCGAGCCGCAGGGTTGCTGTCACTTGGCTGCTTCCCAAACTGGCAGGAAGACAGCAGTGGCTGGAAGTGGCTGTGTAGAGCCAGGGTATGAGTGAGGTGTGCACACAGTCCTGGAGAGCTGGCTGTGCCACTGCTTCCAGCAGCTCCAGGGTCCCCTGGCTTCTTTGGAGCTGCCTGTGAAAATAAGGGGGGCAGAATGGAAAAAGGGAAAAGTGGTGGATTCATTTCATACTGAAGAAACATGCAGCTGTGCGAGATCCAGTCACTGCTTTTCTAATTGACCTTCTAGAAAATATGCTTCTGATTTTCCCTACTTATACAAGCAAACCTTTCTAGTATTATTATTTAACTATATGAAAAAGCTTATGTAAATAAAGTCTCTAGATTTTTGCCTCCTACGTTTTACTAGTCTTGAGATCTGGGTTTAAGGATCATTTTCCCATTCCACACCTGAAGAACTAGATATGGAATAAAAACTCTTATACTGGAACAGTAAGCTTCTGTCAGTGAAAGTTGATGAGTTGTACTGTAATTAAAAGAAGAAAGAGGAATGGTAGCTCCTGTAAAAAGGTGATGATGTTTGACCTTTAAAACACTGGACTGTAGGAAAGAGACAGTAATGTCTGTGTCTAACTGTCATAATCTGAATATTTTTGATAGAGAATATCAGAAATGATCATTCAAATGCAGCATTTTGTATTCCAGCTTTATTGCAAGATTGATTTGTTATAAACCTTTGAGTGTGTGATCTGGAGGGTTGGTTTACCTTCTGTTGTTCCTTCTAGATGGTGAACTTGCTCTTAGCCAAGGGGGCAAACATCAATGCTTTTGACAAAAAGGACAGAAGAGCTCTTCACTGGGCAGCGTACATGGGTAAGGCTTGGGCTGCTGCTCCTTCTTTTTAATTTCCTATTCACCAACGGGTGGCATGTCTTGAAATGGACAGGAACAGACCTGGCCCTGGAAAGAGAGTGTTGTAATTACCCTGAAGAGGGAAGGGTTCAGCTGATCTAAATAAACACTGTCCATTTAAGGGTTTGCAGCTAGGGAGATCTTGGCTGTGATTTCCTTTTTAAGACAGTTAATTGTGGCCTTTTTGTGTTGCTTTTTCATTTTGGTCTTATTCTGACTCTAAATCAAGCCTGAACTATATTTGTGCTGGAAAAAAACCCCAGGTTATATTTGTTTCAGTTTTTGTTAAAAAGTACTTTCAATGAAATGCAGGTAACTGTGACCAAAAATGTTGTTGTTTATTGCAGTGTATAAGCAGCTAGGTTATGATATTCTTAGGAAATGCACAATAGGCACTTTCTTCCTCTTAGGAGAATACTGTCACCTTTTATTCCAGAGTGGACAAGAGCAACTGAATATCTCCTCAAAAATAAGTGGTGTTACCAAATACTGCTTAACTCAAACAGTTTGACTTATCATTCCTTTCAAGTTAAAGGCAAATCTCTTACAGTGGGGCATTATAATTTAAAAATACAAGATTGTGATAGTGGTCATGCTCATTCAAGAGCTTTTGTTGGCCAAGCTGTATATTTCAGGTTACCATTTGTGGGGAGTTGTGCACCCTCAGCCAGGAACTCTTTCATTTGACATGTCTTGATTTTAATCCTGGCACTTTTAGAAATGAGATAATAGGAGATTTCCAACTGTGAGAAAAGCATATTGTGTGGTTTTTTGATATACACAGACACAGATGGAATGGCTCTTGCCAACAACTGTGATGTGGCTTTTGAGCTAACGAGCTTTGAACTTCACTCTCTAGATTTGAAAGGTTCTTGCATTGTGCTGTGAAGTTCCATGCCTCTTTTCCATTTAAATGTTTTCAAAAATTCATGATGTACTTTTAAAAGTATTTAGATAACATCTAAGGCCTAAATTAGCAATGGAGTCTGTAGAGCATTTTAGACAGACGTTAGATAGTGACATGAGAGTTGTAAACCTTTACAGAGTTTCTGGAATATTTAATTATTTTTGTACACTAATTATCTATAGACTTCGTACATATTGTTTCTTGGGTCCTGCACATGACCAGAACTGCTCCTGTCATGAAAGTGCTGTGCAACTCAGGTGGAGCACAACTTTGTATGGTGTTTGACATAATAAATATTTAATTCTAAGACAGACCGTTCTGTCTCAGCATAAAGCAATAGAACTGTTCCTCTTAATTTTATAATTTATTAAGGTTATTTTTTATCTCTAACGAAAACCAAGAAGTGTTAGCAGTTGTATTTGCAGGTGACATCAGTAGGATGCTGTTTTGGGAGACTTGCATTGCCATGCTCCTGTGCTCACTGTATCACTATCCTCTGTAAGAGGGAGAATAAAACACACTCTGTTAGCTTGAGAGAAATAAATGGAAAAGAGGTGTGGTTTTGTTCTTTTGGCAACTGGAAAATCAATTCAGTAAAAGGAAATTTGACACATTTGGAGAAGGTGAATGCGTGGATTTCTTCCCAAGGCCTGGAGCTAGGATTAGAAACATTTATGAAAATGCTTTTTCTTTCTTTGTAAAACTGTGGGAGCACTTTGAAACAGCAGTGAAAGGGCAGTGTGTTATCAAGAAAGCAGTACTCTGGGAGAAGTGATGCTGTGGGATGGTCTACTCATTGATTACTATCTTTTGTCTTTTGAAGGTCACCTGGAAGTTGTTGCCTTACTGATTAATCATGGTGCAGAAGTGACTTGTAAAGACAAGAAGGGTTACACCCCACTTCATGCAGCTGCATCCAATGGGCAGATTAACATTGTGAAACAACTCCTTAACCTGGGGGTGGAGGTATGTGATAGTGTGCACTTTATTTCTATTTAGAGATAGTCTTGTCTTCTTTTTTATGGATCCTGCTAAAGACAGTCACTTCTAAAGAAAAGGGGTCCCATTTTCCAGACCACCTCATGCTTCCTGTGGTTTATTGGTTCAAGAGTCAGGACACATTCTGTATTAAAGAAAGGCTCATATGGACAGTAAATTCAGGCCCCCTTGCTGAAGTAATCAGGAGATATATCCTGTTCCTGCAGAAGAAGATGGAGTAATGAAATTTTCCTTGGGTCAGCATTTCCTTTGATACAATGAGGGGTTTTTCTCAACATACACACTGTGTACTTCACTAAACATCAGCTCAGGCTGTTTCAGTTTACAGACCTGTATTTCCTTGTAGCTGATACATTGTTTTCACTCTGGAATATAATTTTTTTTCAGAGGACAGACTTCTTGTTATTGCCAATTCCTCAAAGCAGGGCTGAGATGACCAGAGGAGCCTAATCAGACAGTTAATCAGAGATGTCAAATAAAGCCATTGCTTTTGCCATGGCATTTTCAGCTGACTTGACCTGCCAGAAAATTGTCAGAAGTTCATGTTCACAGGCTGTTGGCTGTGAAGGGGAATAGCTGTTTCCTGTTATCAACAGTGCTATGCTAATAAGTCTCTTTGAGTTCCACATTCTCCACCACTGGGGACATGAGCTTTGAGACACCTGTGTTTCATGGAAGGCTGTTCATGCCATTTCCGAGTCTTTTGTGCAATCTGTCTTGTCCTGTTTTACAGAACTGCAGTTGAATACTAAGATGGTCATCAAGAAGTAACATAATCTGAATTACATCTTTATAATACTGAGCTACTGAAAGTGGTTTCTTATTGAAGTGTAAATATCTGTGCATTTTCACATTGCTTTCACTCAGATACCCTCACTCCCTATTCAAAATAAAACTGTGTAAACAGCTCTTATGCCTGGTTCTCATCACAAAAACTCAATACTTACTGTTGTCATCTTTTTAAATATAAAGATTGTGAGTTTTTTATTCATCCTGCTTTTCTACTTACATGGAAAAAGCTTTCCAGCTTGTTAGGATTCTTGTCATCATTATCATCATTACATAGACCTGCTATCAGCTTTGAGCTTCACACTGGTTTTAGAAATTGTCAGTAAGATAAAAAGTTAATAATAGGAAAGGTAAAGCATTCCAAGGGAAGCTGTCTGGGAGTGTAATTTGTCGATGAAATGTACTGGTGAGAACTATGCCCTATGACAGCTCAGGCCTCCAGCTATTTCCATTTGCAGCGTGTGATGCATTACATAAAATGCTAAGCTGATGTCTGCAATTTTAACTGTGTCTCCTTGTCTCATTTTAGATTGATGAGATGAACATCTATGGAAACACTGCACTTCACATTGCCTGTTACAACGGTCAGGATTCTGTTGTTAATGAGCTGATTGACTATGGTGCTAATGTAAATCAGCCTAATAACAATGGATTCACCCCCTTGCATTTTGCTGCTGCCTCCACTCATGGAGCACTGTGTCTTGAACTACTAGTGAATAATGGGGCAGATGTTAATATTCAGGTAAAACTCAAATACCAGCTTTACATTTTTACTTTAGCCTATTTTGCATATCTCAGGAGGAAACTGTAACAACAAGTACAGCATGGCTTTAAATCCTTGATGGAATTGGAGTGATGCTGAGAATGTTGATCATGAAACTGTTTGGGTGAGATTGCATCCCAGGAGGGGAGCTCACAATGCCTTGATAAATACAATGAGAATTCTAAATTCTAGGCCAACCCCTTTCATGAAGGCATGAAAAAGTACTAAAATGTAGTCCCAGGAGCTCTGTCAAAATGTTATCTCAGGGAATGGTGCTAAGTTAAAGAACTATTCCTGTTTTACTTCCCTGTATAATATAGATTTAATTAAACCTGATTCCAAAATGTTCCCTTTCTGGGATTGCTTGTTACCTGCTTTAGAGCCCCAGCTTACAAACTCTGATTCTGCTTAGGATATCTGAATATTCTTGAAGGCACAACTTACACATCTTGATGGAGCTGAAAGGAACTTGCTGTTATCCAAAGGAGGGTGCTGGTATAAATATCAGAAGACTTGAGGTCTTCTGAGTTCATATAAGATTTTGACTACTTTAGTTAAAAGTTTGACTACTTATGTGTTTCAGTTTCCCATCTGTGAAACTGTCATTTAACTTCCAGCATTCAACACCTCTGGCAAGTCCCTTAAGATCAGGGAATAGTCAGTGCACTGTTTAAACTCAGAATTATTAAGAAGAAGTTAGGGATGTTAGTTGTGCTTGCCACTGAAGGTGAACCCCCGTGCCAATAAACATGAAGTGATGTGAGTGGAGGCTGGTACCACTCCCGTGCTATTTTCTCATTGCTCAGCTTTCCTGGTCTGAGTTTCTTTCTGTAAAACCCAAAACATTGCTCTGTACTCACTGTACCTTTGCTTTCATAAGCCTTCACGTGCTAAACCACTGCTGTGTTTCATTCCTGTCAGAGCAAGGATGGGAAGAGCCCCCTGCACATGACAGCTGTCCATGGGAGGTTCACGCGGTCGCAGACCCTCATCCAGAACGGTGAGTTGTTTCTGTGCCTCTGGAGTGGCTCTCCAAGAGATCAGGCACTTCCACTGTTGCAATTTTCAGTTCTTCTGGCCAGGGGGCAGCTCCATGAACTTCTGGCTTTGAGCTGAACTGACAGCTCTCATTCCGTCATGTCATCACAACCTGAGATTTTGTTGTTAATAAAATTCCAAAATCTTCCAGCTGACAGTGGTCCAGATGATCTATTCAGATTCTTAGCCTGAAAGCAAGAGTTCAGAGGTGTATTTAGGTCTTTTTTCTGCTGAGAAGGATGCACAATTTTCTACTTGTCCTCCTTTGGGAGCCCTGGTGTTCTTAGAGCACAAACCATTTTTTCTATTCTGCGCTCAGCAGCTGTGCTTTTCTCACCTCTCTTTGCTCATCCCTTGCCACTGTCTTCATGAAGTGTTGAATATGTACTCAGCAGGGAGGAGCAGTACTGCCTTGTTTGTTCTGGCATAGCCAGGATTCCTGATTATCAGTAATTTTTCAGGCTTTTGTTTTGTCCAAGAATACTATAGAATATAGCAATTATTCTTGTTGGAGATCTGGCAGAGGCCTGTTTCTGAATGACAAAGGTTGCTATTACTGATTCTTTACTTAAGCTTCCCAGTTCGGGCCACAACCTGAGACAGGATGGCTTTGTTCATGGGTTGGGTTTTTTTTGTTTTCCAAAATCCCAGCTCAGAATGGAAGCATGAAATGTTGGAATTGGTTGAACAATTGTGCTTTAAATGTAGTGACACATTTAAACAAGATTGTGTTTTAAAATGCAGGTCTCCAGTAGATCATGCTTATTTCAGGTCATCATGTTATCTGTCTCCTGGGATTAAAAAAAAAAAAAGTAATAATAAAAGGGGATTGGGGCAAAATGCAAGAAACGGTGCTTTACTGCAATTTTTAGTTGTTTAGTCAAATAGGCTCAGGCTTAGAGCCATTGTTTGCTCGCTGTTGGATTTGTGTGTGAAAGGACTGGCAGTTCTTCATCTGCCCTTCATGCCTGTCTACTCTTCTTCCACTTACTTGGGTTTCACTTCTTTCTTTCTTTGTTTTCTGCCCCTCTAATTTTAGTGTTGTACACAGATCTCATTGCAAGTGACTTTATGCCTCATTGCCATGGGATCTTGGGGAAGAGAGAAATGTCAGTGGTTTAAAGCAATAGAGTTTCATTCTGCAGTATTTAATGAGTTGGCTAACTGTGTCTCAATTTCTGGTTGCTGTCTCTAGCAGCTTGTGAGGAAAAATGGATTACCTTAAAATTGGAAAACTGCAAGTGTGATACCTTTCTTTAAAAACGAGGAAAAAGAAATGCTGGGGGATGTTACATAGGTCAGCCAAAGTGGGCAATGTCCTGCATAGATTTCTCAAGAGTAAAAGAAGCTGGAACACCACAATTCTCTTCCACAGCAGTTTAATAGGCTTTGTGAACACAGCACAGTTTTCTAACTTTTCCATGTGCAGTTTCTCTTTATGTATTGGTGGATGCTCTACCCCAGGGAACTTGTTCAAGCATTTCACTGACCTTCAATTACCATTAAAAAATTAAAAATTAGAAAGGATGGAAGGAGCCTTAAATATAATGTAGTTGTAGCCTGTCTGCCATGGGGAGGGCATGCCTTGCACTAGATCAGGTTTCTCAGAGCCTCATCCAGCCTGGCCTTCCAGGAATGGGGAATCCACAGCTTCTCAGGGCATGTTGTTAAGTGCTTTACTAGAACTCTTCCTGTTGCAATTAAGCCCTGTTATCACCTGTGAATAGTGGACATGCAGTAAATATTACCATATCCTGATGTTAGCAAGACTTTTTACATGCTTTCAGGAAGCATTCTCACACAAAACCAGCAGAGTATTAAAATACTGCAGTGCTAGTGCATAACTGGTTGTAAAACTACACTCAGAGATTAGTAATAAATGAATTGTTGTTGAAATGGAAGGTGTAGTGGGGCAGTCTTCAGTTTCCCTTCTGGATCTGGAACTATCCAGTATTTTTATTAAAAGCTTGGATAATGGAATAGAAAATGTGCTTTTAACATTTGGAGAAAAAAATGTAGTTGGGAGAGACTGTTAGTTTGGCAGAAGGTGGAGTCAGAATGAAAAATGATCCTGTAGAACTGGAGACAGAAGTTATAATGCAAGTGAAGCAAAAGAAAAATCACCCACAGAGGCAGGAGTATCAGCAGGATAAGTCCAGAATGGCAACAGCCAGGTGGGTGGCAGTCCCTCAAGAAGGGGTCTGGGGCTTGTGGAGGATCAAAAGGTTGTTGACCACAAGTCAGCAGTGTTGTGGTGCTTAAAGAAAAGGATAATGGATGTCCATGGTGCTGTGCAATGTCCAGGAGTGCACAGATAGGAGTGTAGCCAGCAGGCATGAAGTAATCCTGTTTGCTTAGCTCAGCACTGGGAGATGTTAGCTGTAGTACTGGTTTTGGCTTTTGCTTCCACAAGGATTCAGGCCAGCTGGAGAGGACTGGGGAAAAGAGAGAATAGTTGGAGTGCAGTAAGCCTGACTGGCAAGGAGAGACTGAAAAAGTTACAGTTCTTGGTCCAAAAAGAAAAGTGGGACTTTTCTGTAATCCATCTAAAGAAATAATCCATTTTTCTTGCTTATGTGAATAAAACACAAGATGCCAGGTTTAAATTGCGAAAGGAAAAGTTCTACATCAGCACTGTTTGGTTGTGCTTTGGTAAGACATGCAAAAGGCACCCAACACGTTTGTTTGCAGTGTGCTCCTGATGGCCTCAGGAGTGAACTCTAATTTACATTATTGTACAGATAAGGCTGAGTGGCAGTGCCTTTACAAATGAGGGTGCAATTTCAGCAGATTATTTTGTAGGTGATTTCAGGGCACCCATTTGTACCTTTAGACAGGCAGCAAATCCAAATAATGTACTTGACCCTTGCACATCATCCCATTCCCAGCACTGTTCCCCACCACTGCAGGTGCAGAGGGAGGTGCAAGTGCTGCTGCCAGACCGTGGCTGACAGCTGAGAGCTTGCTGTGTGCTGGTCCTTGCTCTGGGAAATTCAGTGTCTCTATGGCTAAGAGAGCAGCTTGGGGCTGCTAATGGTGCTGTCACTAGAGACAAACAGCACTTGTGGTCCCTGGTTCATGGTGAATTTTTCAGTGTGTAAACTGTATGAAAATCTCTTCTGCAGGAGGGGAAATCGACTGTGTAGATAAAGATGGTAACACCCCTCTGCACGTGGCTGCAAGATACGGACACGAGCTCTTGATCAACACCCTCATAACCAGCGGAGCCGATACTGCCAAGTAGGTGCCTCAAGGGGAACTGTTTGTGAGGATCAAGTGTCGTGTCCAATGCCTGGAAACACAGCTGCTCCTCACCTTCTGAAGTGGGAAGGTTAAAACTATTGTACTGTACTTCAAGGGGTGACGTGAGACTAAAATATGAACAACTGGGAAGTGTGCAGGGGAAGCAAACTCTGCTCAGTTCCTCTTGTGCCCACTTGTGTGATTACAAGTTGTAAAAGCACTGCTTCTTTTCCCTGAAGCATTGGTTGGGACAGTGGTGCTAATGTACATGAAGTAGGGGTTGGGGGGGGTGTGTGTGTGTATCTATACATATATATATATATCTATATCTATATATATCTCTCTCTATATATATATATACTCTTGTGTGATTACAAGTTGTAAAAGCACTGCTTCTTTTCCCTGAAGCATTGATGTGGGACAGTGGTGTTAATGTACATGAAGTAGGGGTGGTGTGTGTGTATATGTATATATCTATATATATACACATCCACACACACATATATGTATATACAGAGAGAGCACTTGAGTATTATTTAGTTATGGTCAGGTTCCTAGGGTCTGTCAAAAGGAAATAGCAGATCTGGACACAAACAGGGATATGAGATCAGGGCAATGCAGTGCCATGCGGGATATCTGTACCAGGTGTTTCAGAGCAGCATCTGATTTCATGAATGTAAGGTTTTGGAAATTACCTCCACATGTCTCCATAATATAATTTTTCTTTTACACAGAACCTGCCATAGAAAGCAGGGACTTCTCTTGACTTACCTAGTTAGGAAACCCTGCTTTCAAATGCAAATGACTGGTTTGAATTTGGGAGAGAATTGCAGCTCTCAATATTTTGTTTATTTGCTTGTTGGTGTCTATGCAAGTGACACATATTCTCATTCTCCTTTGCTGAGTACAACTGGCACCTAAAAACTCAGAAGGTGAAACAGATCTTCAATTGGCATGGATAATGCAATTCCACAGGCTTCAGCTAGTGTCACTGGATTTTATTAATACAGCACCATGAAGATCTTGGTATCTTAATAGAAGTGTAGGTTTTTCCTCTCTCTTTCTCCAGTACAGTCAGTCGCTGTCAGTTATCTTGAGGTTTTAAGGGAAAATGAGATGCACTGGGATAGCCCACTCCACTCTAGGAATCAGAGTTATCCAGTTAGAAATTTCTATTTCACAGTTGGGTAACTGGAACATTGATCAAATAAAATACTTTTTCCAGCAGCAGAAATAAGTGAAATAAGAAGTTGGCTCAGAGATACCAGGCAGATGGAAATGATGCTACTGCCTGTGCTAAATGTGCTTTCAATATGTGCTGCATGTAAATAACTCTGGGTGAGCTCCCCAAATAGGTTTAGGAAAGAAAACTGCAGCACTGTTCACAACAAGTGCAGACAGCTTGGCCAGGCTTTGAGGCAATGCACTGCAAGGGAAAGCGTGCAAGTGATGGGAGGAACCAGTGTGAGCAGCACTGCAGTGGGACACTGGCTAGCAAATGTGCAGATAGTGGATTTTGGTGGAAACCAGCCAAAACATCTGCTGGATGGAAATCTTGACCAAAAATATGAATAATATTGTGTTAGATAACTAAGTGGAGGAGGAGGCAGAGGGAAATGGGTGTAGGGAGGAACAGCAATACAGAATGCCCAATGTTCCCTTAAATAAGTGAATCCATGGCTAGAAAATACAACCTGTTTGTACAGGTGCAGCAGCTCAGTGGAGCTTGCAATGTTTTCTTCGAAGAACAGGCTGTCAGATCATTTCTTAATATATTTATTCTAAGATATAGATGCTGCTAATGCCAAAATTAAAATCTGTACAGCAGCATAAGTCACTCAGTGTAGTGAAGCAGCAAGGAGGACGTGAAGACAGAGAAAGAATGGGCTTGTGGATTCAGGAAAGAATAAATTTTTTGAAAACAAACCCAAACTAGTTAAATACATTTATGCATAAAATCTTGGAGAGAGCAAGATATATTTATAAACATCCACATTAATTATTGTCTTAAGCTTCCTAAGTAATTATGATCTATGGTGTCTAGAAAGACAAGATCCTTTGTCTTTGGGTCTGTGTCTGAAATCCTCTTCCATGAGATGATCATACTCTCCCATCCACCAATTGTCTCACAGAAGTGAAGAACTGATATGAATCCATCTGCTATTGTTACGGAGTTTGTAATTAAAAAAAAAAATCTGCTGGAGCAGGCAGTAGATGATAATCTTGTCAAGCTAGTTGTTTTCAGAGGCTCCATGTTTATGTGCACTTGGAGAACTGCCAGGAGGATAATATTTCTATAATAACAAGATGCTTTGCACAAAACAATGCTGAATGAAAGACACCAAGATGTCCAGACCCAGAAGTATTCTAAGACAGTAAGCAGTGGCATGCCTAGGGACTGAACTGGCATGATTTCCTGATATTAATTAAAGTTGCTGAGTGCTCAGCTTGTTTAAAAACTACTTGTTTGCCTGGTATGAATTTAGACTAATGATAAACAGTCTCAATCTAAAGGTGCCCTTTCTTTTCTTACCCATTTTGTCTGCTCTGAAAGTTTATTGTGTGATTGAAAAGAGGGTCATGTGTTAAAGGGAGGAAAAAGTGAAATGGGAGGTAAGGAGAGTAGCTGGAGCAAATAGGAAAATTAGATTAGTTCTTAGGCTGTGGAAGAAAACTGTAACATGGCAGCCTAAAGGAAAGTGTGAAAAGTCATCTGCAAAAAAAAAAATCAGAAATAATATAGAGAAGATTTTGGCATTTACATTTCCCTCAGAATGGCAGTTGCTGTATGTGTAGCTGGTGCAGAAATTTGTGGCTCACTGGGCAGTTGACTCCAAGCAGTATCTGCTCTTACTTCCTCCCCTACCTTGGTTTCTCCTGGAAATTTCACAAACCATCCTGCCACATTCTGTTCAAAGCAAAATGCCAAGGTTTTACTGCATCAGAATATTTTTAACTCTCAAGAAGGCTGTTAAGGAAATGCAGATAAAAATAATGGCAGGCACCAAGAAAGAATCTTCCTAGAAAAGCATGAGAAAATGTTGCCTTTCTGGAAGGAGCTTTTGATATGCTGTGTATGTATATAACCTGCATTTTCTCAGAAGGCTGTTGTCCCTTTCAGGTGTGGGATACACAACATGTTCCCTTTACACTTAGCAGCACTGAATGCCCACTCAGACTGCTGCAGGAAATTGTTGTCATCAGGTGGGTAAATCCCCCAGTGTCCCTGAAATTCAAGCAGTGTTTGTCTCTGCTGCTTGCAGCCCCTTTCCTTGTTTTGTTGTGAATAATTCTAATGAAAGGCTTCCTGTGCTGCTGTGTTGGGCTGTGTGGGGCAGTGCACCAGAGCCTGCAAGGCTTTCCCAAAGCCATGCTGGTACTTCCTATGGTGTTCATGCCCAAAGCTCTTTTCTCCCAGCAGATTCAGAGAGTTTAGACTCTGGGGAGGGAGGGAATTTAGAACCCCTTTCCAAATTGTAGGAATGTGAGATCCTGTTTTGTTTTGGGGATTCTCCCCTCTGCCCTCCAAATGAGTAATTCTGAAATTATCTCCTTGGGGTCTGCACTGGCACGGGTATTTACATCTCACTGATGATGATGATATATTTTACATGCAGCTAAAGTGTGTTTCTGAATCTGTAGTTAAGGACTTAGGCTGGCCAAAGCTCTGGGGGCATGAGAGGGAAAATGAGTGGAAGTGTAGTGACAACAGAATAGGCTTGGGGTCCTCACCAGAGCCCAAAGCAGAAGCAGCCAGAGCTTGCTTATGCAACTGTTTCAAAAGAGTCAGTAGTCAGTGGCCAAATCCCAAATTCTGCTTTTTCCAGGCAAGAGTTCCTATGAGTTAAAAAATCCTGACCCAGATCGTATGAGTTTTCTAGAAAACTCCTTCATTACTTAACATGTAAAATGTCCTACAACTACTCTTGCCCCTAATTTGAGTCCTGTAGGATATAAAAGAAACGTGAAAAATGGTAATTACATACTCTATTATATTGAGACTGGGTGTGCTCTGGCCTTGACCACTAGATAGGAAGAGAAAACACTCTGGGTGACAGAGTTAGCACTGTCAGGCTGCTACCTTTGGTGTTGTGCATCTTGATGAATATCCCCACATGCTGCTGGGAGCCTCTTCCCAATCTGACAGCCCCACGCCATGAAAACAGCCCCAGTTCATGTTTAGGCTGCCTCTGTGGTTCTTCCTCATGTCTCCACGTTCTGTGTCTTCCTGTCCTGCTGTCGCAGTCCTCTTGACAAGTCTCAGCCTCCCAGGCGCCCGTCACAGGCTGCAGACAGGGACGTGGAGGAGCTGGATGTGGAAATAGGCGCTCGTCACCTTCGCAGCTCTTTTTATAGTGCTGCCAGCGCGAGCGGCTGCTCGCCGTCCCCGTGACAGCCTCTCTGACTGTGCTTTCTGCTTTCCCCCCGACTAACTGATTTTTCTGTCTCTGCGATATCTCTTGTGGTTTAACTAGGACAAAAGTGTAGCATAGTGTCCTTGTTTAGTAATGAGCACGTGCTGTCTGCAGGCTTTGACATAGACACCCCCGACAGCTTCGGAAGAACGTGCCTGCACGCGGCCGCTGCCGGAGGGTGAGTACCTGCACTGCGGCTGCTCCCGGGCATCCTGGGGCATCCTGGGGCCAGCCACTGCGGCTGTGCTAGCCACAGAGGAATTTACTGCTCTGCAAGGCAGTGTGATGCCATAATTTGGGTCATTTTAGGCTCTCTTCTGCTGCTGCCCTTGTGTAGGGTGAGCTGGGTTGGTTTGAAGCATGTGTTTCAGGCAGAGGGGGAAGCTCTTTTCGTGCCCCTGAGAAGGATGTTTCAGCTTTCAGAGGGGTGCTGCACTTGGCCAGGCCTCCCTGAGGGCCACAACAGTCACCAAGGGCCATCAGTTTCCAGGAAAGCATCAGTCCCTGGGGAACACCCAGGGAGAAGCAGGAGCTGGAGCTCCTGGGATGCTGCTGGCAGGGGAGTTATTCCTGGCCTCCATCTCTGGACATTGTCCTTTCCAAAAATGCAGCTGTGCAGCAGTGCCCATCAGGTTGCAGCCTTGGAGTCCAAATGTAGTTCATCTCTCTCTCTCTCCCATTTTTCAGTTGCAATAAGTTTCTAAAAGAAAAACCAATAAACCAAAGCAACAACAACAAAACAACCAAACCCACATCCTCCAAATTAGAAAGTGAGAAGGGTGCCCCTCTCTCAGGGTGATGCATTCCTGAAAAGTGGTGGGAGGGCAGAAAAGTGAAATTGAAGTGAAAATTGGAATGCTTCAATTTAAGATGTAAATGTAGCATCCAGTTATTTTAAATATTTCCAGATAATTGTCAGTGAAGTGTTGAGAGGTTAATCTAGCAAAAGGACACAATGTTTGGCAAGCACTGAGTTTTGACTCTTCTGTTTGAGTACTTTATGGCTCAGAAAACAGCCAAAATGGAGCCTTGGCTACAGCCCTTGGATTCTCTGTGGTTATAACAAGCAGAAATGCTCATCCACAGCAAATACTTGGCAGTCATTCTGGAAGTTGCTTTTTCTTCTCAGTGGACCAAAATCTGTATCACAAAGTTTTTGTTCCTGTGGAAAAAAACTCCATACCCTAATAAAATTGATCCAAATATTGCTTTTATTATTGTTTTGGTATTATTCATCTTGATACTTCTTTCACTTTAGTGGAAGAGGTATGACAGTTGCTTGGATGGAGATTATTTTAATATAGTTCAGATGCTACCTCTTTGATAAGGCTGCACCCCAGAAGGATGATAAAAACATCCTGGAAGTCCAAAAGAGAAGGAGAGGCTTCAATAAGAAGCAAAAGTGACTCATGAAAATAAACCATCTTTTCCCAGTGGTTTACTATGATTGTCATCACTAGCAAGTGTTTTTATTTTTAGTGCATTGTGGTGAGTGTTCTGTAGTTATTTTATGCAACAGCAATTTAGAGTTGGGATCGACATACACCAAAATATTGCATTATGGCACCCAGTCCCTTTTTTTTCCTGTAGCTGGAGATCTACAAAAGCCATTAGTGTATTTCCTGACACAGGCCTCTTACTGCCATTACATTAATGGGAGTTGCATGGGTGCTAGGAAAAGAATTTCAAAGGTCTGCTTGTCTGACTGTGAGCACAAATGATGCCCCTGTGGAAGACAAGTGGTCTTGGAAAGTGCTGCACTTCTTTATATAATTATCTGGCTTGGAGTCCTACATTTATTTGCTTGAATTACGAAAGATGTCAGAATGCAGCTGGTTTGTTTTCTATTAAAAGTTACCTGGCTTTAAACAAGACGAAGAAACAGCCAGGATGTGGTAAATTCTCCTCCACTTTTATAAATGCAAAGTTGATGTGACAGTCACTGTAATAGCCACAGCCCTTTTTTAACAAAGCACTTGGAGATGGCCTTAAATACATCAATAGATCAATATCAGAATATACCTAAAAGTAACTCTTGTGGTTATATTTCATTAAATAAACAGGATTTGAGCAAAGTGCTCACTGTTGAATGCTCTGCTGAGTGGGGGTGGATTTCGTTAAATGTCACCTCTTCATTATTAGACTGGCATTTCATAAGCTAGCAACAACTTTATTTTAGAGTTTCTTTATAAAATACCAGGTCAGAATGGGAAGCACTACAGTACAGCTGCCATTGAAAATCTCCAAAAACACTGATCACATTTACTGTGCCCTCTTTGGAAAATAAATTTTTTTCTTCTGCAGAAGAGAAGTTTGAGATTTTCTAGTGAAAAAAAAAGAAAATAATTTCTTTTTGGAGCTTCATTTTCTGTTTGATTGAATTTCATGTTATAGTTTTTGCACAGCAAATAATACAAAAATAACTTGAGTAACTTTTTCCTTTTGGGGGACAGGGTACAATGCAGGCGTTCTGTTTTACTCATGTTGTGTTTTCTTTGCTTTTCTTTCCAGTAATGTAGAATGTATAAAACTCTTACAAAGCAGTGGAGCAGATTTTAATAAGAAGGACAAATGTGGAAGGTAGGTAAATAACAAAGCTCTTTTAAAAAAGAATCTATCAGCAAGGAAGAAAGGCCACCTCAGACTGAAAATCATTTTTCTATGAAAAATGGCAGCAAAATCAGGTAGTTTGGCCTTCTCTGCAGACCCCTTGCTGCTGCAGTTACATGCCAGCCAGCCAGGTGCAGCCTTCATTAAATCCCTTAAGGCTATCCCACCCTCTTGAGTTTATCTTTTTAAAAATACCACAGCTTTTCTTTTTTCCTGCCTGCCTAAATTCTTGTGCTGGTGTGCCCAAGACACCCCCTGAGCTATGATGGCAGGGTAGCTGCCATTGGATGTGCTTCCTGGAGGATGTTCCCCCCACAGACAGCGTTGCTATGGGTGTTGCCATGCCAGCTAAACAAGATGCTGTGATGGACACGGTGCTTTGCTCTGCCTCCAGCTGGGAGAAGCAGCGTGTCTGCAGAGCCACAGCAGAGGCTCTCACAGGCATTAGGCTGTTTGCACGACACAGATTGAAGCTCTGTATCCTATTAGGCTTCGTAGCAGCACCAGAACTTCTATTAATGCAATATTTTGTTAAATTTCCATAATTAAAAGTGCTGATATTGACTGCTGGAAATCTTTAGGAATGCAGCAATTAAGATTTATCGTGATCCTCCTCAGTACGTGTTGGAATATGAGGTAACAAATTGCCACTTATGTTCCAGGACACCTTTGCACTATGCAGCTGCAAATTGTCATTTCCACTGCATTGAGACTCTGGTGACAACAGGAGCCAATATTAATGAAACAGATGACTGGGGGCGCACCCCTTTGCACTACGCTGCTGCTTCTGACATGGACCGAAAGTAAGAGAGCTCTGAGGAATTCCTGCTTCGAGTGTTTTACTAAATCACTGTCACTTTAGTCTCTTCATGGTGCTGTTTGAGCCAAAAAAATGATCCCACTAGCACAGGAATTTCTCTCGGATGTATGCATAGCTCCACAGTGAGCTGCTCTGAGTGGAAGCCAAAGCCCCAGATGATGAGGCATTTCAGCTCCACGGTTTACCTCTGCAGGAACGCAAAGTTCTGCAGCCACCCTGCCCCACAGAACTGTTTTCACAGTGTTATGTCCTGATGAAGCTCAGAGAATTTTCTGCATTTGCTTTGCAAGTCCATCAGAAGGGATAGAGCAAGAGACAGCAGGAGGAGAGGTTTTCAGGGGGGACTGCAGTGACAGACATTTGGGCTTTTTGACAGATTCGTGGGAAGGGTGGGATAGATCTAACCATCAGTCTCCCTCCACTGTCAGAGCAGATAAAAATGCTCACCCTGTCCAAACAGGTTGCCTTTTTAGAGGGATGTCTGAGGAGTAGCCTTTGTCAGAACGCAGTGTGTCCTTGTGAGAAAAGGGGAAAACATCTGCAAGACTTAGAAATGCTGTGGTTACTGACTGCAATTTTAATTCCCAGATAGCGGAACATTCTGCCAATCTCTTCCTTTTAACACACTGTATAAACCAGACTCAATTATCCTGTTAGTTCTCTCTTAAAACTGTTAGCAACCTGTATTTATTTTAGGTCATCCTGTGTTTTACTGTCTCTAGACCCTAAGCATCTAGTTTTTGCTTTATTGTGTAGTGAGGTCTGCTGAAAGTACAGCTGCATCTCTCCCAGCAGAGCACCACCTCAGTGCCACAGCAGGGGAAGTTTGGTTTAACTTTATAGCAGAGTTCTGAATGCCACATCAGAGCCTTGAGAGCTTCTTTGTTATTTCCTGTGATAATACTGACATAAAAAGTGTTTTCCCCATCACCCTCAAACCTGAACTGTGCTGGGGAGAAGGAGGCAGAGTCATCAGAGGTCTGTGCTTGGCATGAAAACCAGTGTAAGCTTTTAGGAAGGCTTTCACCACTGCCTGTTTCTAATTCTGTCTCACCAGGGTGAGGTGTTACTTGGGGAGGTTGAGAATGATGATTCAGTGTGTTTTTCAGCTTTTGGTTCTTGGTAGGTGAGGTTCCTGCATTTAAACAAGCTCTTGGTTACCTTCAGTATGTTTCTACTTTTATCCCTCATTTTTTTTTAAAAAAAGAAAAGCTTATTTTAGTTCATCCTGAACTTTGGAAGAAGTATATGGCTTTTATTTGTCCTCACAATCCAAACCTAAATTGATTCTGATGTGGTGATGCTGTCTTCTCGTTAAATTTTTCAGTTTGAGATGTTTTGGAAGAAGCCTTGTTACACAGATCAAATGCTATTTGCAGACCATGACTTTATAGGTCAGCAAATCTTTTTTTTTTCCTCCTGAATGTCAAAAAACTTGCAAGGTCGGGCAATCTCATTCCAAAGAATATTCATCATTAACTCTGGATGTGGGTAGTTAACGAGCAGGGAGAAGAACCTGACTGAGAGATCACACAGTGTTGCCAAGATATTTTTTTTGACAGAAAGTGAGGCGTGTTAGCTAATGCAGACTCGAGACAGAGTGATTTAGTATCAGTAATTAAAGTTGTTCTAAATCCTAAATGCTAGAGAAGAGCTAGCAGCTTACTGCAGGAGGAAGCAAGGTGTAGTAATCCTGAGGTACTCTCTGGAAAGGAAGAAAGTGCACAACATTGCTGTGGTTGAAACAGAAGGGTTCTAGAAAGTGTTGGTCTGATAGAAACCAGAATTTAATTCTTTTTTTCTTCTGGCATTGACTTGTGGGACAACAAACTACCACACTATGGTTGTTTCCATGGCTTTGAAAACTTAGTACCTGCAGACCCATGCAGTGCACTCAGTTAACTTGTATAATCCTCATTGTTGGCTGGAGGAAGTCAGCTCCTTAAAGAGGATATTGGGGGTGGGTGGCAGACTGCATCAAAATCACTGGTGTGGTATTTTGAGAATAAGTTGCATTTTTCTGTCCTCTGTGCTAAGAAGAAAGAATATTTTAGGTAACTCCCATGAAAATGCTGAAGAACTTGAAAGAGCCACTGAGATGAAGGAAAAAGAAGCTGCATTGTAAGTCTGGTGTCACAAAAGCAGTTAGACTTCATTCTGGAGAATGCCACGGCTTTGGCTTGCAGCCTTACACTCTGCTCTTGCTTGTTCTTTGCTCTGCTAAAAACAATGCTTGGCTTCAGTGAGGGCTAACCTAAAGGAAAAAGCTCCATGCTCTTCTCTGTGCACATACTCCCTGATATTTCTGTTTCTGTGCTTGTTGCTGTTTCTTAATATAAGATGTACAGCTTCAGTAATTTCATAATTGTTTAATATCATGTGCTTTAGTATCACACAGTGTCTTTAGTGTCATGCACAGCATAGTCTGTATGTTGCAAAAAGAAGTAGCCAATGGCTTTCTCAATGTGTGCACTTGGATTAACATTTTCATCTATCTGCTTAATGATTTTTTTAAAATCCCCTTTATCATATAATGGTCTTACATTCACTCCAGATTACAGGCTAGGCAAGGAAGTACTAATAACAAAATGACAGTATCTTGATGGTATAAGAGGAAGTGGTGATGAGCTAGAAAGAGCAAAAGGGATCTTTTGAAAAGCATGATTGGAAAAAAAAAAGCCAATGAAGAATATATTCAAATAACTCAGTTGAATTTTTTTCTCCAGCCTGCCCTAGTGCGTGCTTGGAGGCCGATGGTTTGATATCTGAGTTTTTATGTGAGGAGTAGCAGTTCTAGGCTGTTTATGTCGTGTGCACAGAATCGTTCAGGTTTTGTAACAGAAAATCAATTTTGTAATCTAGAGTAGCCACAAGAGTTAGGCTGAAGATCTTTTTTGTGAAGTTGATCTTCAAAGAGGAGTGGGGATTTTCTGTTTAAAAACATGGTGAAGTGAGGAGCTATTGGTGCAAAGCGATTTGCTGCTCCAAGTACGGGATTCACTGCCAGTTTCCAGTGCCACTTCCAGCTGCAGCGAGGGAGGAGCCTGTTGAGTATTGTGAGCCCACATTTACCCCCGTGAATTGCCCACAGGTGTCTCGAGTTCCTTCTGCAGAACGATGCCAACCCATCCATCCAGGACAAGGAGGGCTACAACACCGTGCATTACGCGGCTGCCTACGGGCACCGGCAGTGCTTGGAGCTGGTGAGTGCTCACTTCTGGAGTTCTCTGGCTGCTGATGGGGAATGTGCATGTGCCAGGATGGGCAACTCCCCTCATGGCTGCTACTGCAGCTCTTTGGGTAATAAGAAATCTGTGAAAAACTGCAATATGGGACAGCAAACTCAAATATTTGCATCCAGATGTATCTTAAAATATTTTTATCTTGATAATCAAGTCCTTATTCAACAAGCTGGTGCTTAAGGGTTGTCTTTGAGTGGAGTTTTTGTATGCACAAATTAATTTTAAGCGTGATCAAAATATTCTCAGTGTATGCCTAAGTGCCAGGAGTAAGGGACAGTTCCTGGTAAATGACAGTGAATGTGCCTGATCCACCTACCTGGCACTTTATCTGACCTGCATACTGAGGGAGTAAATAACTTTTGCTTCATACTTGCAGTTTGTTTTTTGTTTCTGGCAAAACAATGGCAACATTGATAAAGTTACCATAATCAAGATCAACCTTACATGCAAAGCAGCTGAGAATTTTGGTGGTTTTTTTGTTTGTTTGTTGTTTTGTTTTGTGTTTTGGTTATTCCTTTTTTAATATCCTCAGTCTGAATGATTAGTAATTGCATCTTCTAAGATGCCAATAATTTTTAGCCAAACATTGGATCTGGGAGATGTATAGAATGGATTTGTAGACATATCTGACTTGTTAATGTGTCATAAAGGTGAGAGTTAAATGGTTGATATATGGGGTGATCCAAAATTATATATATTATATGTATTATTACTGTATACATTATATATGCTATATAATAGATAGTGTATATTACATATAAATTGACTTTAATTGCTTCCAAAGAGCTTAGCTCCAATTGGAAAATTGTATAGATATTCATGCTTTAGTGAGCACAGTGTGTTGTTTAGTGTTACGTGTTGTTTGTTCTTTCTTTCTGTGTTGAAGAGTCGAGTATAGAGTTACTGAGAAGGAGCTGTGCACAGCACATGCTGCTTTCACAGCACACGTGCCACAACAGGAAAACGCTGCAGCTGGGTCCAGCAGCTTGGAAACCTGGGCACTAACTCTGCCAGGGCAGGCCTGGGGCAGAATTTCAGGTGGGGTGTTAAGCCTTTTTAGCTCCCACCTGCAGGCATGTTTTGTTTAGGACACTTAAAATAGCACTGCTCCTTTACTGGGCATGGAGCAAGGGCCCCTCTCTTCTCTTGTACTTGTGGCTGGGCACATCTTCTGCACATCTCAGTTGCAGGCAATGATCTGCTGTCAAATCCTGGCATTGCTTAGGCAGGGCAGACAAAAGGAAGAGCTGGGAATGCAGTGCATGTCAGAGGTGTTGGGTTTGCTTTTAATCTGGAGGGGTGAAATGCCAGCTGTGGGCCAGAGACAGCTGTGCAGCAAGTGTTCTATATTCAGGCAGAAAAACTCCTTATTCTTCCATGTCAGTTTTCCTGTATTTGTGATTAAAGCTGCAGTATGGAAACCTAAGGTCAAGCATCACTTACAGAGTTAGAGTCACACAGCTGTTCTGGGTACAATGGTGAAAAACAACTGCCATGAATTTTAGTCCTCTCCATGCACAGGACCACCTAAAACTTTTGGGGAACCAGGTTTTTCCATTGGTGTTTGGAGGGTAACAGGCATGTAATTTTCTCTCTGGAATACAAGGGTACAATGTGTCAGAAAGCATTTGTGCTCATCCAACAGCAGGACCAGGATCCATCATCTTTGCACCCACTGCCAGAAGAAGCTGACTCAGTTTTTTTATCATGCATTACCAAGTCCTGAGTTTAACAACTTCACATTTGATAACTTTAACTAGTTGGTAGAGGCACCACCATTACACTGATTTCTTTGCAGTGCTGGGATTCAGGATGGCAGAAGGATTGAAAGCAAAGTCAGGTGGGATTATGTAAATAAACCATTATTTTTCAGTGCCATATTAGCTGTTATTTTACTATTTTATCCCCTGGGTAAATATTTTTGTTTATTATTGAGAGCTGATAAATGAAAGTATCTAGGAATTATCTTGCCTAGAACAAGACAGTTATTTATGGGCCTAAAACCTGTTAGAGGAAAGAGTTCATATGAAATGTGAAGCTTTAATTGTGGTCAAAACTAAGTCAAGGGGGGTGCAACAATAATCTTGGTTTTCTATGACTAATAATTACTAGTATTTCTCTACATACACAGTACCAAACTTCAGCAAAATGTTAGGGAATTATTTTGATGTTCCAGAATATGTCAAGTTTATAAAAGATCTTGTAAGATTATTTTTTATTTGCCTTCCCCTCTCCCTCCCAGTTTTCTTAGTAGGTATTTAAAAGAACTTATTTCTAAATAAATGTTCACTTTTAAAAGTAAGTCCAAAGAAAAAGAAAAAGATGTAGTATCCAGTGGAGATTCCTTCACTGGGCAGTTTGGTCTGTGCTTTACGCACTGCAGTTTCTCAGCATTATAAAATGTTTGCACATTTGAATGCAGTTTAGGGAAGGGCTGCTTTATCTATGGAAACATATTTTCATTCTTTGACTTTTGTGTTTACTGTGAGTCCAGTACCTTGGCTGGAGCTCAGCTACATTTCTTTGTGGGGAGGTGTTGGGAGAAATAAGGATTAAGAGCGAAAAGGTCATATCTTTGACCCAAACCAAATTCATGTTTTGTGTGTTCAACCACAGAGCTCAACAAGAGAAGCTTTTTCCTGCACGACCTTTAGGTTGTCTGGAATATTAGTGGGGTAGTTGCCCTGCAATGAATGATGTGATGTTGCTAAAAAGAGAAGAGTGGAAGCTGATTCCTCAGCTGTTTCTCCATCTGTAGGGAGCCATTCATAAAGGTTGAATGATGGACATGGGTGCTTGCAAGCCACTGAAACTCCCACCTGCCTTCCTGCTTCCAGAAATAACCTCAGGTTTGTTTAGGCTGGAGCTGGCTTTGCTGTTGGTAGTCAGTGACACTGGTCATCGCTGCTGCCTGGTGTTTTAGAGCTGATCACATCACCAAACTCCTTTGAAGAAAAGAAAAATGTGCCTTTTTTTACATTGAAATGATCTCTTATCACAGGAGCTTTGTTGGTGTGAAAAGAGTGGAATTTAAATTGTAATTTCACATTAGAATTCTACCCAGAGAGACAGTCAAGCACTTTGTGCTGATAAAAACAGGTTTCTGTGCAGTGCTAGGCCAAACAGAATTAAATGCCTGTCTCCTCCAGTGAAATCTCTTCTCTGACTGTAAGAAACGATGGATGCTTTTTCTTTTCATCTGCTCTTCTCTTTATTCCATCAGCAAATGTAATTTCCTCTTTGACTAACAGAAATTGAGTTGGCACAGGGGCTAAATCATTTAAAGATGGGAGGAGAGCATGGTTTAACCAAAAGCCATGCCCAGAAGAAAAGGCAAATCCCTTTGTGTGTGTTGGGGTGCAGGGGCTGAGGGAGGTGTCTGGCCAGCACAAGGCCACACTGGGAGTGGACCAGGCTGGGGAACACCTTTATCAGAGCAGCTCTGCACTGCAAGGCAGATCAGCCATGCCTTCAAACACTCGGTTCCTGAGCCTGTGGAGAAATTGAAATCACTGACTCCATAAATCTCCGATGTGGCTGCTGTTAATTACCTGTCTCCTATCAACACAAATGTGTTCATTCACCCCTCTGAGAGCAGGGCACTGGTAATTACTGACGAGTGAATCACAGCAGGGACTGGGATTGGTGTTAAAAAGCTTTTTTCCACATGGGGATCTGGCCCCTATGCTCATCCAGTGGCAGCCCCTGGACCCCCTTCTAACTCAGATCTCTTTATGTGGGGGATACAACCTGGGTTTTCTCCTTCGTAGTTGCCTGTCTGTCTCCACAACCAACACCCCTTTCTTAAAGGGAGCATGTTGTCTGAAGCCAGGGGCAGCAGTGTTTTGTGTGATGAATTACTTTGTACCTGTGTCTAACAGGGCTTTTCCCATGTGGAGCAGAAAAGCACAAAGTCATTAACTTAAGTGGTTCTAAAAAGGAGAAGAACTAAGGAACTTAATGCTCAAAAATAACTTTAATACACCTAATTTGACTGTCAGTTGTAGAATCCCCCAAATCATGGTAGACTGATTTAATTGGTTGAGTTCTGATGTCAGCATGCAATATGTACCCACTGTTTGAATAACCAATAGGAGCCCATATATGCTGGACACACTGGAAGGAGTTAGTTTATAGAAGTGCAATTTGTATTAGATTTTATGTTTTGGAAATCAGGTAATTTGGATTCTAAAAGTGCTTTCTAAAAAGCGAATTCTGCTTAGGATATCAGCGAGGGCAGGAATTTACTGTTTGCCCTGGCACCCTGCTGGCACTTTGCCTTGTAGGATAGAGTATTGCTTAGCATCTCTGGGGTTTATTTTCTGTCTCTCTGACACATTTTTTGTTGTGTATTTTTATTTTCCTGGGGTGGAGAAGCAAGACACTTTAATCTGCTTTCTTCTGACAGAGAACAACAAGGCCAGTGCAGAACTTCAGGAGACATTTTTCCTTCAGTTAGGAAAGAGATCATGGACTTCTGTTGTTGCCTTAAATACCTTTCCGTGTATCTGTGTGTGTGGTGTTTAAATGTTATGTGTGAAGAATATCTGATTCCCTCAAATCTACTGAATGCAAAGAAGAGTTCATCTGATCTAACGCATCTATTGCATTGCATTAGAGTTTAGGCTCTCAGAAAGAGCTGTGGTCTCTGGGATTTTAGGGGTGCAGTCAGGTTTATTTATCCAAGGCAAGATATTTGCCTGCATGAGCAGACTTTCAAACAGAAACTGCTACTGGTGTATTGGTATTTGGAGGTTTACAAAGCAATCTCACTTCATTAAGCAAAGCCTCCCACTGTGTGTATGTGTTATGTATCTGTTGATCTGTGTTTTTCAATTGAGGAGATTGATCTTAAATGCTGTCATTATTCTCTTCTCTTCCTTCCTCCCTTAATGTAACTGATATCTGTCCACGGTGGCTGTGGTGTCATTGCTTCAGGAGTGTTTCTGCTGGGTGTGGACAGTGTAGGGATGGGGCACACAGGGTCAGGTCCATGATTCTGCTCTTGCACTTCTTGAAATGCAGTTATTGTACAAGAAAAATAAACCAAGAAGTATTTTCAGATTGCCATTACACTTGAGTGTTTCTATCTTTAATTATTCTAATTCTAATTGACATTTTTAATTAGATTGGAAGCAAAACTCCATTGGATATAGTGAGTAAATGAAAAGCAATTGCATGTTGTGTATTTTTATTTAAACTTCTTAGTACTTTGCAAATCCTTGTATTCACTCTGGTGAAGCCTGAGGGAGAAGAATCACAAGTCTTAACCAGCATGCCACGTACTTGAAGCAATTGCATGTGTGCTGCTTCTGCTTCCATTGGAATTCCTTCTTCCTGCTGCTTGCAGGCTCCAGCTTTGCCCAAGGCTGTTGCTGCTCCTCAGTCAGTCTTAGGAGCTGTGAGTCCAGTGCACGTACCTGCCTGCCATGACACTTCCCTGGATGTTAAAGTGACCTTGCATTTGGTAATGTGAAATGGAACCACACTTGGCTGTTTTCTGGAAGTTTGTGGCCAATTTTAAAGTGTTTCGGAGAAGAAATGTAAATTACGTGGCTTCAAGTGAGCTTGAATTTAAAAAGTACTGTGTGTGTTTCAGAGTAGAGGCTCAAATGAGAGGAGAGTAGCAAAAATAACACTGAAATGCACATTTTAAAAATTGACTATCACGGTATTTCACCAGTCCTCAAGTCTTCTATCTAAAGAGGAAACTTCCAATAATTTCTCTAAATATAAGCCTTCCTTTTGCACACCTGTATGATTTGCAAAAGTTTCTTTGGCTCAGAGAGTCCTTAAAGCAAAGTGTGGGGTTTTACAGAACCTCTGAGGTAGAATTTCTGGCCAGAAAGAAACGTGATGTATGTGATTTGAGTGTGAAAGTCCCAGGTTCAATTCTCTGCTCTGACTGACACAGGAATTGGACTTCTACATCCCAAGGAATAACCAACACATTACGCAGGCTGGTACTGGGGGTGATCTCTCACTCTCATTTGGAGCTGTTGTGCATTGTTTAAACACTCACTGGGTGACAATCACCTGTCCCTATGACCCACTGAGTATGGCACTCCTATGGCTTAACATGAAATGATTTTGTGTGGAGTGGAAGCGCTCCAGCAGCAGATCAGTGCCCCAGCTGAGAACAGCCCAGGGCCTGGAGGCCTGCTTGAATTTCAGATTTAGATGTGTTTAAAGACCTGAACAGTGTCCTCTTACATGCCAGGTAAGTGTCCTGTGTGCATGGTAGTGACTGTTCTGCTGGGTATTGGATGCTTAAACTTGGTACTGGAGGAGTTGCACAGAGCTACCAACATATCTCTTCAGGCTCAGCCTAAGCTCTTGTGAAAATACTTCTTGCTTAAGTTAGTTTAACTTCACCTATATCTGTGCATGTGAGTGAAATTGATGTCTCTACTGATGAATTGGATTTTTAAAGCCTGATCTTAGGAAAGCATCAGCACTAGGCTAAGAGGCATATTGGTTTTAACCTGATCAAGTGAAAATAATCTGATCATGTGTATTTATGAATATGGAGAGAGATTACAGGATTGCTTGTTCCCCTGAGGATGTATTTGTGCCACTTCGCTTTTGAGTTTTTCATCAATTAGGACTAATTCTGAGATTTTAAAATATACTTCTCTGATTGAGATAAAGTAGTACACAGGTTCATTTTACTGCTCTTTTCTGTATCATCAGAAACAACTGATGAGCATTTTCAGTCTTGTCCTGGCTACTTGCTGGAAAAGCCTTTATTTAAAAGAAGCTGCTGGTGGCATGTTTTCCCAGAGCAGAGACAATTATCTGTTGCAATTCATCAGGAAATATGAGATGCAAAGTGACACCTAGCTCCTATATTTGTATTCAGTTCTGAAAGTGACATTAAAAATCGTGACCAATTGCCACTTCTGAATGACCTTGTGAGTGATCAGTGGCTTTGCTGCAGAATTGTTGCAGAAGAGCAGTGTCCCAACTATTTCTTTTCTCTTTATTGCCTTTTGATCAGCTCTTCACATGTGTGGATATTTCTGAGCACTGTTAGATTAATAACTTTTCAGAGTAAAGGCCATTTTTAGGACATACACAGCCAATGTAATGCATTGCCATTTTACAATTAGCAAGAATGGCACCAAACTGCAGGGGCTCACCAGCTCTACTGCCAGTGTGTGTGCTGGAATGTCAAAGCTGCCTTAATAAAACAGTAAAATTCTCCAAGAAAAGTCCCTCTAACTTCAGTGCCAGTTAGCACAAACCTGGGACATAACTGAAATGGCTGTGCCTGGAGGTGCCTGTGCATGATGGCTTGGACAGCATCACACATTCTGTTCTCTTTGAGGGTTTGAGATACTGCCCATTGTTTCACTGTCTGTGGCTTGGAGTTTCTTTTGACTCTTGCTTTGAAAAGTGCAGCTTAAACCTTTTATGCATGATGAAAGTATTATCTCTTTTTCTGCTTTATGGTAATTTTAAATTACTGACATGCTCCATGAAGCTGCCTTTTTTTTTTTTTTTTTGAATACCAGAGCTGAATTTTAGCATATATTATGAGGACAATCATAGGAAGTATCCTGACTCATTAACTGGCATATCTGAATGCCCCAAAAGTGAAGGGGGGAACCCATACTGTATCCTGCTATAGAGTCATTTATTATAACCACAGAATAAAATCCAGCAGTAAATCCTCTTATGCCTGTAAATACCCTTACTGCACAAATGAAATGGTGTGAACTGTAAAAGTTATTCATCTTCATGCTGAACTGGGGAAGAGAGTTTATAAGAGCAACCTTGTAATGCTGTTAGTTTGTAAGACTAGAACTGAATAATTGGTGTTTTATCTTAGTCTGCACCTCCCAAAGCATTCATGTTCCTGTTTCTGAGGCTGAAGAAGACTTCACAAATTAGAGTATTAAAAGATGTTGTTACAGAAAGTGAAAGGGTTGTGCTGGGAATTCCCAAGAGGCAGAAAGAGAAGAAGGGTACCCTTGCCTCTGGAAAGGTTCTGACCTGCCCACAGGGAAGAGTGCCCCTCTCATGCAGGGTCTTTGCACAGTTCTGACATCCACCTGAAATCTGTGGCAGTCGGTACATAAAAATGCAATCTGCTACAAGGCAAACTTTTCAAGTCTCAAAAAATAAGGAATGCAATATGCTGGGACACTGTCCAGTCAGCCACCAGGAACAATAAACTGTTGGAAATTCATGCTTATTTGTCTGTCTTTGGTGAAATGCAGCTCCACAGGCAGGCATGGATTGCAGCACAGCAGACACGCTGGGATTGCTCTGTGAGCTCTGTGGGATTTAAGCTTCCATGGCTGCCAGGACAAATGATTCTGAATGATAAATGTACCTTTTTAAAACCAGATGCAACTATGGATAGCTTCTTCCAAGTATAATGGAACTAGAGTCCCCCAAGGACACACTGTTCTATGTGTTATTATAGCAAATATATGTAATTTGGTATAAAAGCATCCATAGAACCATAGAAACACTGGTAAAACTGGAGGATTTCTTGGAGACTTGGACTTGGTATTTTTTATCTCTTTGAACAGTATGTTTATCATTCAGGTGACTTTACTGGTAAAAAACAATGCTTGACAAGGAATGCCAAAAAAAATATTAGTGCTGTGTCTTTTATCTTCCTCTTCTTGTTCTCCTTTATAAATTCTCCTCTTGCAGCGTGTGGCTCTATTTTATGAGAGTTTCCAGGTTTGCCATCAAATTCATGTTTGCACTTGACTTTATGATGGAGATATTCAGCCTTATGACTAATAAGCTCATTAAGCCTGGTCTGCACAGCCTAAGCTGCTTTGACTAAGCCATGGAGATGCCTTTTGTGAGGGGCTCTCCAATCCCACAATTTGTGCCTTTAGAGCCTTAATTTTGTCAATTTTCTGTGTGGTTTTTTTTCATCTATTTGAAAGGCAATTATCTGCCTTGTTCCTGGAGACTTTTGGAGCCTTCTGACAGGTGAAAGGAAGTATTTACTTGTTATTTTGATCCTGGAATTTCAACATGTGATGATAAATGTAATTAAAAATGATTAAATTAGTCTGCTGTGCTGGCCTCATGGACACAGACTAAAGGCCAGTATCAGGTAGGCAGGGGAACAGGCTTAGTGCCTGGGTTTGTTTGGTGGGAATTTTTAGCTTGTTTACTCACTCGAGAAAATCAGATGCATTTGTGTCTTCAGAGCTGGCTACTGCTTCATCCTGTTCACAGCTCTCTTATATAAGAGAAGAACAGTGTTTTAACTGGAGGTGGTTCCACATGGCAACACCAAATGCATTTCTTCTGCCCCAAACCTACCAAGAAACTGGTGGGAGGCTTGATTTTTTTTCTTCCTCTTAGCTGCAGGGAAGTGTTAAAATTTGCATTACCTGTTAATACACACACCTACTTCTTGCTTATGATTGGTATTTTTATCAACACATACTCTTGACATATTGCTAGGCACAAAATATACAAGTAAATTAAGTTACTGCTTAATTTTGTAGCTTTTCCCTAGGATTCAGATCATTTGCCTTGTTGACTAAGAGATTTGTAATACCTTATGCATTATTAAGGCTAATTTTAATTTCAGTTTGATTTTGGATAAATTTATCATTGATACAGGTCTGTTGCAGACTAAGTTGTTACACCAAAAGTTAGGCCTGCATCAGTGTTTAGGAATATTCCATCATCTTGCAGCACAGGCAAGCCCCCTGTAGCCTTTCATGGTCTCTTTGGAGAATTTTTCATGTTGTCATAGCCTAAAATGGTCCAGGTGGTCACAAAAACTTACATACGTTCTTATTTTTCAGTCTTTTAATTAATTCCTTAGTGTCTTAAAAAACCCCCAGAAACCAAACCAACCAACCAAACGAAAAACCTTGAAAAAGACTGAAAAATGTACTTGTAGCCTTAGAAATATTACAAGTTACTTTTAGTTCACTGTCATGCTTTTCTTTCTTTTATACAGTCTCCCATTGGTGATTTTCTGTAAAATGCTGATTTCCAGTCCCAAAGGCTTTTGGTGACTAATTCTGAGTAATTATTAAGCAAAAGGCCATGCACATGAGCAGTGCCACTCAACAAATATTGAATTGTCAGTAGCATTCTCAACACTGTGTATGATTTTCTTTGCAGCCTCAGCTGGATAATTTGTCAGGGTTCATGTTCTGTTGTGGAGTGGTGCTTTTCCATAGCTCCTCCTTCTAGATGGGTGGAAATGTCCTTGGTTTTAAGCTATAAAATGAAGAGGATTATACAATTTTGTTACTACATCTTACTGGATGCTTGTAAGAGTTCAGGGACATGTTGCATTTTGGAAGACTGTCATTGCAGGAGCAGATTGTTCTTTCAGTCAATTTTATAATTTATCAGTGATTCACAGCTCAGTTATAATTATTCCCAGTGGTAATTATGTGTCAGAATTACCCAAAACACTGTATCAGACATGGCTTGCACATGCTGTATAATCATGAAACTGAGCTTTCTCCAATGCAAATTTACTGAGGGCTCTATTCCACAAATCCATTGTTTTAAGGGCTCCTTTCTCACCCAAGCAGGCCCCAGGATTTCATGGAAACTAATTAATCAGGGTAAGGATGTTCATGACAAGCTTTTAAACTGGTTTTTATAACTTTACCCTGTGCAGAAAAGCTTGAAAATACTTTGCAATCCTTCAGTAATTACTGTGGCCAAAATATATCTTTGCTGATTTATAAATTTATACTCCATGAAAATTTATCCTGTCTCATGTAAAAATGTTTTCAGACTTTGTTTTTTTCTTCCCAGCTTCTGGAAAAAACAAACAATATGTTTGAGGATTCTGATTCTGCAGCTACAAAAAGTCCTTTGCATTTAGCTGTAAGTACCAGATGTGTAAAGCATTTGATCAGTATCTCCTAGAATAGTTCTTTAATCTCTGTCTTTGAAGCAAGTTTAACTGTGGGCTTGTTTTGAAAAAGGTGGGAAGGGATGTAACAAAGCCAGGTTCTGGGCTGGAATAGTTAATTAAGATTTAGGCAGTTGAAGTTCTGGGCTCTTCCTGACACTAACACTTGGGTAAGAAGATGACACAGACACTGAAGTGAAATTAAATGGAAATTAAATTGTATTTTGAACTAGGTTATAAATATGTGTCCAAAGCTGAGCCTAGGCTTTGCTCATGGAATGAGATTCTCTGATGTTCTGGTGGAGAGATGCATTGCAATGAAACTGTTTGGAACAGTTTTTGATTTCTTGGGTACAGTGTCATTTGGAAAAATCCTTTCAGGTTGAAGAGAGAGTCATAAGGAATCAATAAAACTGATTTCTGTTGTGTTTAGGAGACATTGAAAGGGATGGATTTTATTCACAATTTATGGGAAAGGTCTTTGAAAGACAGGAGTTGTGTTCTTTACATGACTCATTTCATAATTCTAGGCCTATAATGGTCATCATCAAGCTCTGGAGGTGCTTCTCCAATCTCTGGTGGATCTGGATATTAAGGATGACAAGGGACGCACTGCTCTGGACTTGGCTGCATTCAGAGGACATGCAGAGTGTGTGGAAGCTCTCATCAGCCAGGGTGCTTCTGTCACTGTAAAGGACAATGTCACCAAAAGGACCCCCCTCCATGCCTCAGGTGGGTGTGATCTTATGCTACCCTGGTGGTATAAACCCTCCCACACTGCAGCAGGTACATTTACTTAATGCTGTTGCTATGCACATTTCTTCTAAAGGGAGAAACCTTCTCACGTGTCCGGAGGAATGATACTTCTTTGCTGATGTTGTACATTTAAACCATTTTTCTACTGTTTCATTCATCTTTTTTTCCTCTACCCCTGTGGTTCGGTTCTCCCTCATACAGAATCCCATATTTTTGCATACCACTGCTGCTCTGCCCTTACCTGCTTGCCTCTCTCTGTCACCCCCTACTCTTCAGGAGTGTGATGTTTCCCTCATGACCCCTTCTCTTGCTGCTTCTTCAGCCAAATACTCAGGGGAGGAGGGGACACTCGCCTCGCTGCTTCTCCTTTGGAAGAAAGGTTGACAAATAGATCTGGGCTCTGACTGGCAATGAAAATGTTCTGGTGTTTAAAACTTGCAACCATTTGCATTGTCAACACCACAGAAATTCACCCCCCTCTTTCAGGCTCCTCCTGAGCCAGCCTGTGAACTTGCACTTGCTGGCAGCCTGCTCCTTTCCTCATGTGTGGGGCGTCAATTACGTAACATGCAAAATGAGCAGGGAAATGTAGACTTTGTCGTTTATTTGAAGGTTATTATTTGACAGGTACCCGTCAGGTAAATGTGCAGAAGTGCCAAAGGGAACGTGTCTGCTCTGCTGTTCCAGGAGGGGCTCCCTGCAGGGCAGCAGTGGCCTCTAGTGGGAAGGAAAATTAATACCACGTGGATAATTAATTCAGGACCAGACTTAGTCTTTCTGCTTTTCTTTTAATCTTGCTGAAATGCATATATATTCTGTAGTATCAGTTCATTCTCTGTGTGTGATCATGTAAATGCAACCTCTAAACATGAGGTCAAATAGACTTAGCAATTTTTTCTGCAGTACTGAAGGAAATGCTCGCAGTAGACCCACACTGCATACTAAAAATGCTTCCTGTCTGCTTAAACTTTGCATCAGAACTCAGCACGTTTCTCCCCATGATAAATACTGATGGTTCAATTAATTGAAATCAATATTAGTGCTACAACAAAACTGAGCTGTGTTGGTCAAGAGTTTTCCCTGTAGTTACTTCAAACGTATCTTGGGATCTGATGTGACCAAGGTGTGACTCTGTCTGGTATGTCATCACTATAGCAAAGATTTGCATTTATTTAAAAATGTGGTTATAGTGACATAAGTTTTAGTTGTCACAACTGAACTGTAAAGGTTCTTCAGTACTGAGAAAAGTGAATGGTAACAAAGCCATATTTTTGTTAACAGCTCTGACTTAAAACACTAATCTGTTGAATAAATTTGTTGAGTAAATTGAGTAAATTTGTTGAATAGAAGATGTTATTTTAATACACATCTTTCTTACCTTCATATAAATTCAGATTGTGTTCCCCCTTCCCCCTTTTAATTTGTTTTTTAATCAATCACCTCCATCACTGTAGTATTGTGTGCCTTCCATGTGAAACCAGCAGGAAGATTCATTGCAGACTTTTCTGGTCCATTATGCTTTTTCCTTCTCAGACTAAAAATCATTCCCAGGAATGCAAATAAATTGTTGTTTAAATTTGCAGTGAAGCAAAATAAGTCAGATATGTATTAAAAAGAAACAAACAAAAAACCACATATACAAAAAGCCCAACCAAGAAAAAAGGCAAAAATCCTACCCAGGAATGAGACCCAAAAGGGAACATGTACCTTGAGCAGAATGGAAAGTAATGCACAGATGGGTCGAGTATTTGAACTCCTTAGTAAAGGAAATTCACTGGCATGAATTTGAAAGCTTTCAAATGTGAGTTAAATGCACTTTGGGTAAATATTCATTAAGACAGCGATTGGAACCCTCCACTCAAAAGCCCTGCAGAGTTCCGTGGAAATGCTCTCTGGAGTGAAGCTCCCACCACCACCTGCTCCAGACATCCCCTTGCAGAGTTTCCATGCTGCCGTTCCCCAGGGAAGTGCTTGGTGAGGAGGGTTTGAGCAGGGCTGGTGCCGCCTGCCCGGAGCTCACTGCAGCTGCCGCACGCTCAGAGCCTGTGTGCTGCAAGGGTGTGGCTCAGGGGCTGCCTGCTGGGAACCCCAACACAATTCTTGCTGAACTATTCCCTGGAGAGCCAGCGTGCACTTGCAGGTGCAGCACTGTGCGCTGGGAAGAGACAAGAAGGCAATGTGTGCCCATCCCCTTCAACTTGTTTGCCCTCATTCCTTCTCATTGCACCGGCACAGCTGCTGAGCACTGAGCTCAGGAGGCCTCGGGTGGTGGAGTGGATGACAGAATTCTGCACGTTTGTGTCAGTAAAGGGATTTGTGACTTGAGAACTCACCTAATGCAGTGTTTCTTTTTTCTGTCTGTCCCCATGAAGTAATAGATTTCCTCTGGCCTCATAACACAGAGAATTTTCTTTGCCCAAATGATATGTTCCCTGTGTAATTTCATTGCCACCAGCCTCTCCTCTGGCTAGCCTGGGGAATCCATTGGAAGCGTTCCCCTGGTGTTAGCATTGTGGTCTGTTGGCAAAACTAACATTCCTGCAGGGTCTGTAATGCTTAGCCATCACTGGGTCAGCTCCTAGGAGTCTCTGGGAGAATCTGTTCTAAAACTGATTTACCAAAATCATTTTCACACGTCTTTATGAACAAGTTATGATTTCTCCTCCTGCTGGTAGAAAGAACAGACCTTTATTTCCCCCCCTCAAGCCAGACAATCACCAGCCCTGCAGAACTGTTTACATGTTATGAATATGTCATTACTTAGTGGTAAATAACTAAAAATGCCTTTTATTTTTCTGGGTAAATCAACTAAGATTATTTTTGGATGAGTAATTTAAATGTGATGATGTGCACCGGTTTCTCTGCCAGCATGATGTGACATAGGTGGTGTCCAAGGGTTTTGCCTCAGCCCACTGGGTGTAGGCAGTGTGAATGCATGACTTGCTGTAATAGGAACACAACGTGTATCTACTGAGCACAGGAATTGTTTTTCAAAGAAGAAAATATCTGTCTCTCCACCATGAAAGTCTGAAGCCTTAAAGCCAGCTGACACACAGATGGGGTTCACAGATGGGGTCAGGCCCTACAGAATGTAGTGACTCAAAGCTGTTTCCTAGCAGCAATGGGTTACATAAAAAACCCAAAACAACAAAACCCAAAAAAACCCCAAAATATCCCCCCTGCAGCAAAAACCCCAAACACCACTAAACCCAAATGTTTTGATAAGTCTTATTTTTGATAAAATGGATAAACTCAGAGGGAATTTTAGTCCTTGGTGTTATGTGCTTTTATGAATATGACATTTGTATCATTGGCCATTCTTTGCAGACTTTTTTTTCATAGCAGCACTGAAGTACTCAGTTGTACACTGCACATAAAATTAAGGAGCCTTGACAATGTACTTCCTACTGTGTTCCAGCCCTGAGCACAGAAAGCCTTGCCAGCCTGCTCAGTCTGAAATGCTGTCTGCTTTAGTAGAAATCTTCTCAGTAGTGAATATCACAATTTCTGTTTTACTCATTTGGGATTTTTGTATCTAAGAGAACCAATCCTCATCTTTGTGAGGTCGAGGAAAAACAGCTCACCATTTCACAGTTAAATGAAAGTTAAGGGAATTTTGATCTCTTATATGGTGGAATATTTTCCTTGTTTATAAGGACATTTCTTATCCCTAAGCATTCCAGTGGGAAAGTGTCTGAAATTAAACATAGTTTTTTCCCTTTGCAGTCATTAATGGCCATACCCCTTGTTTACGATTGTTGCTGGAAGTTGCAGACAACCCTGATGTGACAGACGCCAAAGGACAGTAAGTTTTCTTTGTGGGCTTTTTTTTTCAGCTCTGTAATTCAAATAGCATCTCATATTTCTCACAAAAAAGTACTTATTTGAAATACTGTATTTCCTGCACTTCTCCTCGTAGGATTTGGCAGAGATTACAAAGTACACATTCAGTTGATGTAAGCCATGTGGAAAGGACTAATCATTAATCTTAGCCTCTGCTTCATACTTTAAACAGTCTTTTATAGATGTTGAGGGCCAGATTCAATAAAAAATGAACAGGCTCCTGAGATGTTTCTATAAAGTCTTCTTTCTAAAACATTGCTATTCTAGGGTTTGTTTGGTACATTAGACTGGTGCAATAGGACACAGTGTTTATTTGAGGTGGCACATGCATCTGAGATGTTCCTACAAAAAAATTACTGCTTCTTAAATGGCAGTTATAGAGGGAGAATAAGATATATTTTTAAGTGAAAATGTGAATAGTTTAAGAAACTTATTTGAGGTGTCTGGAACATATAATGTTGCACACATAATGTCTGCATATTTAATTTTAAATGGTATTAGTCTGCCTAAAAACAGATGGAGAATAGATCTCTTTCAGAAACAAATGAAAGATATGTTAGTCTAAATTTTGGCTTGAATATTTTCCTAATGTCCCTTTATCCCCTTTAAGCAAATGTGCAGCATTTGCAAAGAAATACTTTGGGTCATTGTCATCTTGGTAACTAGCAAGGACATGCATTCACAAGACTTGGTATTGTGAAACTCTTGTGTCACTGGAGGTGACAGCAACTGTAGGTTATTAAGAGAACAGATTGTCTTGAATGGTGTTGCTCTGTAAACTGCTTACAAGTGGGTTTGTTACTCTTTCAGTCGTGGCAGCTGATTGTTAAACATCTCAATAATTTCATCCTAAAGGTCTTCACTTGGGTGTCATATATGAGTATGGGAAAGGAACTGGGTTCATGGGTAGGAGTGGAAGAAATGCAAAGCTTCCTGCTTCTCTGTGGAAGTTAGCAGGGACAAATAATATGCCATTTTATAGCTGTGACTGCTCTGGTTTTCTTTTTTTTCCCTAGAACTCCGTTAATGCTTGCAGTGGCATATGGGCACATTGATGCTGTTTCTTTATTACTTGAAAAAGAAGCATCTGTAGATGCAGCTGATCTCCTGGGATGCACAGCTTTACATCGAGGGGTGACTTAATTTTTATAATCCTTTATTGTTTGTTTTGCTGTGACTACAACTCACTTATAAGTGCAGGGATATTTAAATCTAGAGAGCACTGTAAATGATTGGAAACATGACCAAGCATAATGAATGAGATATAAAGCAAGACAGATCTGCTCTTAGTAATGATTTGCTTTTATTTCACATTTGCATTAATTAATTAGGCAAAACAATGATTAGACCACTTTTTTTTCCTCTAGTTTTCTCTACTTTATAATAGTAGTCATTATTCTTGTACCTGACCAGCTTAAGAATTCTGAAAATAATTTCTTCGAAAGAACTGGCCAGTAGTTAACTTTCATTTTGCAACGGTGCAAGTTTTTTCTAGAGGCACTGAAACTTGAGGCAGATCTAATCTTTTCTAGTCCAGCTTTACTAAGCTGACTTTCCTAGCTAAGTCTAGCTTCTTACCCAATGTGGAGCTGATGCAAGGGATGATATTTATACAGACCTTTATAACTGCAGTGAGTAGTTCAGCAGGTGAGCAAAGGGGCTCTCATCTCTGCCTGCTGAATCCCATCCACACCATTTCATGTTCACAGGTGTCAATCACATTCCATATTTCCAGGACAATAATCTGTGTTACATCAACCTCTTTACTGATTTCTTTGTTACCAGATCATGACTGGGCACGAAGAGTGCGTCCAGATGCTGTTAGAGAAAGAAGTCTCTATTTTGTGTAAGGATGCCAGGGGCAGGACACCTCTGCACTTCGCAGCAGCTCGGGGTCACGCCACGTGGCTGGGCGAGTTACTGCAGGTGGCCCTCGCCGAGGAGGACTGCAGCCTGAAGGACAACCAGGGCTACACGCCCCTGCACTGGGCTTCCTACAATGGTGAGGATCAGCTCAGGGAAATGTGGTGGAGGAGCTTGAAATGAAGAGGCAAATTGTCCCTGTTTGCTGTCTGTATTGGCACTTGCTGTGGGCACCCTTCAGTTCAGAGGCCAGGGAAATTCCAGCGGTACCTCCCAGGGACTTTGTGGCTCATTTGCTCCAAGTCACAAGAAGCCAGGATGAAGTTCTGGTTTTATCCATGTCCATGCTGAAATTGATTTCTGTGTGACCAGGAGTGCTCCTTTGAGCTCCTGGTACAAGAAACCACGGGAATAGATGGATATTCTGAGCTGAACTGATTATTCCAAACTGGATAACCTGAACTCATGGCTTAATATAAGGATAAAGCTTCTCAGTATTGACACTTAAGCTTTGGATGTAATGCAACATACATGACATCACATTAAAAAAACTTTCCTTTTTTCTCAATAAATGCTAATATTTGCCCAGATCTCTCTTACTGCTGCCATAAAATTAAAAAATCCTCTGATTTATCACATAAGAGCTTATAAACACATCATGTTCAACTTTGAACTTAAAAGTGTGAGATTCCAGCCTGTGTAAGGCTAATATGAATTAAGTGAACTACCTGCTTTGTGCAACACTGTGAAATATCTGCTCTCTCACAGGTCATGAGAACTGCATAGAGGTACTATTGGAACAAAAACTTTTCCACAAGTTCTATGGAAATAGCTTCTCTCCATTGCACTGTGCTGTGTAAGTAGAAATCTCCTGTAACAACTGAGTGTTGCTTTAGGATACGTCTGCAGAAAGTAGCAGTATGAGAATAAAGCAAGCTTTTTTGGAAATTATTTGTATGAGCAATGATTTTAAAGCTGATCACTTGAAATAAAATTCTTTGTAGCTAAAACACATTATTTTAAATCAGAATTTCTAGTAATAGCTTTGAAAAAAATTTCAGTATTCTTATTATTTTAAATGAGTATGCAATTTTCAAGACTGTTAAAATGTGTGCAACTTTAAAATGAAAATACCTTTTAATCCAATGTGGAAGTGTGTTAGCTATATTGTGTGTCTATTATTGTTACTAAATACTGTTAATTTTCATAAAGAAATGAGACAAATTAGCAAAACCCAGAAGTATTAATTGAACACATCTATCAAATCAAATGCAAATCAAATCAAATACTAAATGTGTGAGTTGGAAGAGATGTGGGTTTGTACCTTAAACAGTAGAATAAATCTCTCTTCATGCAAGTGTCTATGACTGAGTGTTCTGAGTGTTTTCCAGGCCCAGGGGTGTTTGACATACCGACTAAGGATTTTAAGATATTAAGGTTTTAATCCTAGCTTTGTTCTGGACTTGGAAATTACCTTGGTGCATAGTGAATTAAGGATCAGCTTTGCTTTAGAGACTGAAATCCATCATAGCAGATGCAGTTTGGTTAAATGGAGAGATGATGAATAAGCAGAAGTGTGACTAAAAGCATTAAGACAAAGGCATATTAGGGTAACTTAGAAATAACCACTAAGAAACATTAATGGGAGGTCAAGTAAACCTTTCCAATATTGGAAAGTGGAAAAATACATAGACATGGCCTTTTAAAAATGTATTTTCTTTGGCAGAATCAATGATCATGAAAACTGTGCATCACTACTCATCGGAGCCATCGACGCCAGCATTGTCAATTGTGAGGATGACAAAGGAAGGTAATAGTTCCTGTAACAAATTGCATCTCATGACTCCATTTAGTATTTTTCGTAGTTATTCCTGAACCTCTGGCACTAATCCTTATCTGTTATGGCTGAGCTAAGACTTGCTGGCTCTTTCAGACAGCAGTTTACACTCCAGCACAGCTAAATGGTGTCTGACTTGAAGCAAGAATATGAAGTATTCACTGTCGGAGTACATATGAAAAAAAATATAAAAGTGATAGTATTTGGTTTGTTTAGAACAGCTATGGCTATAGGCTGTTTCCCTGGACCTGTTTCCTTTGTTAAATGTTTAAACCCATTTATCTTTGCTAAATGGAGTGATACTACGTACATACAGAAAAGTATTTCCTAATAGTTTCCATGTTATGCTGGCATTCTCAGGGCACACAGCTGAGAATAACTATGCAGCAAAATAAAACCATTACAGCAAGAGATGGGCATTCAGCCCAATCCTTCATTTGTCACATTGAGAATCTCCTCACCACATATGTATATATTTAATTTAAATTGCTGAAATTCTAAAAACTGAACACTTATTGTTTTATTTTATTAAAACAAATTTAATACCCCCTTCTGTGAGGGTAGGAGCACCTCACCTTTGCTGATGAGCAAAACAGAAGCCACACTGAGCTGGGCTGTGTACCAACAATCTTTCATCTCTAGTAGTCACCCTTCTGACCCAAAATTGCCAAAGAGCCACAGTGAATGAATTCCACCAATGTCTATGTCTTGTAGAAACTGATAACCTCCAAAGTGGATTGAATTCCTTTTGCCTTTTATAGTACTGCAGTTACTTGTGGCTTGTTGCTGTAGTATCTTTGACTACAATTCAAAATATTTTAATTTTTTTTAATAATGGATCTGTTTTTTTCTGATAGTTCTTCCCAACTGAGTCTTGCTAAAAAAAAAAAGTAAAATCAGATTAATAAGGACGAGGGATTGTACTGCTTTTCATGTTACACAATATGCTCCATTAAAATAAATAGGCTGCTAATACAAGATTCTTTACAGTGTCATATCTCCACACTATCATATCCACCTTTGGAGACTGGAAATATTATTTAACTTACTTCAGCTGCTGCTGCAGCTGCTACTACTGGTGATAACTCGAAATTGGATAGGGAAAAGCCCTAAAACCTCTTGCACTTGGAGGTTTTTGGGGAGGTGGGGATATGGCCCCTCTCTAGCAGCAGCTGTGTGGGTGTTGCTCCCCCAGGACGCCCCTGCACGCCGCAGCCTTCGCCGACCACGTGGAGTGCCTGCAGCTGCTGCTGAGCCACAGCGCGCACGTGAACGCGGCCGACCGCGCGGGCAGGACGCCGCTCATGATGGCAGCGCACAGCGGGCACGTGGGCGCCGTCGGTGAGTGCAGCCCTGCCCCTGCCCCACGGGGTAACCCTGGCATCCTGGGAAAACTGAGCAAGGAAAATGGATTATGTGGATAATATCCTTCTGCTTTTGAAGGATATTAGATATTAGAAGACAGTTTTTCGTCCATTAAAGATGCTACTACTCTGCAGTCTTGGTGAACATTTGCAATAACAAATTTGAGTCTTTCTTCCTCCCAAGGGCACACTGTAAAGAGCAGGAGGGCAGTAGTAATTCTATTCTCCTGTTTACTTCCTTGATTTTGAGGAGCAGTAAAGCTGCACGTGTGAAAAAGATTATGTAAGCTATTCCTGTCCTGTTTTATGGGAAACCCCATTCTTTGAAAGGCAGCTACCAGCAGCTGCTTTTTCCAGGCTAGATTATGTACCATAAGCACACTGACTGGGGACCTTATGGGCTTTGCAGAATTCCCTTTTCCCTAGCTTCAACAGCACGGGCTGCACCCCAGTTCTTTATATCCCCTTAGTCCTCTCAAAGCAGGATTTACAGTCGTTCTGAGGCAGAGGTGATTCAGGCAAAAATTGCTGATCTGCAAATAGGGAAGTTCATAAATAAGTTAAGATCGATATACATTTGACAGTTTGGGGCACCACAAACAAGCTGTTAGCTCTGCATTTCCTTGCTGATTAACTGCACAAGACTAGTCTGTTCTCATTCACTAACTTCATTATTATAAGGCTTACATCATATGAAGACTTAATTGATTAGCCTCTATGCACATGTATATTGAAATAGTAATTTTTTCCTCTCTTTTGACATGTTTATCTACCCGTTGGGTTCGATCATTGATTTCTGCTCTATACCTCAGACTTTTTGGTGAACATTGCCAAGGCTGACCTGACATTAAAAGATAAGGAGTTGAATACATCTTTGCACTTGGCTAGCAGTAAAGTAAGTCAAAGACCTCTCTGTGCTTTTAGTCTCATCAGTCCATACGAATGTATGTGTGTGTTTATGCTCCCAAGTTTTTTTCTGCAGTGGAAATGTGGTGGTCACAGTTGTGGTGAGGAAGGGAAAGTTGTTCCAAGCTTATTCTCTTGTCTATTTTAAAGTATTGTACATTGAGAAATAGGGACGGCTCTTATGACAACTGAAACATAAGTGACACTAAGAGAAGAAAAGGAAACCCTTTAAGGTTTTACCAGATAATCTCACTGTAAAACAGCTTAACAGGTTCAATAGCAAAGAAAAGTAAAATTATTTTTTATTTATCTCCAATTTCTGTGAAATGAGACCAAAATTTTCCCTTAACAAAGCAGGAGTGAAACCAGAGGTATTGATTAGATGGGTGATGGTGTCTCTTCCTAAGCCGCCTCTTCTTAACTCCAATTTCTATTGCTGTTTCTGCAAGAAAAAATGCACAGAGGATTCCCGTTCCTGGGCCTTTTCTTTTACTCCTCTCCACAGATTGGATTCCAGTGTGATCATATTACTCCAGTTTCTGCAGACACATGAGCATTGCTGAATTCTCAAGGTCCTTCAGGCAGCTGTTCCTCTGCCAGGACTGCAGGCTCAGCATCTGCAACTTGCAGGATCAGAAATAAGGCCCAGATCTGTATTATTCCCAAAGTTCCATTGTTAGAGCTCTCTGACACTGAAGAGGTTTTCTAGCAGCTTATTAATAATACAGAAAGGCATTTAAAGACCCACAAAGTGTGGTATTCGTTTCTGAGATGAAAGCATTCTCTGTCACTGTGTAGTTCTGATAAATCATCCACTGAATGTTCACTCAAGAGAAAACACAGCATCCTCTGAAAGCTGAGGAAGTGAATTCATATTTAATGAATGCAGGGTTGAAAGACAGGTGAATGTCTACATTTCTAAATGTGCTAGAACATCCTAGCAGTGGTGGTTCACAAATGGTATTTTAAGACTCACTCAGTTCAACTTCTACACAGGCTTACTGAGCAGTGTCTTTTGTATTTCAAGTTGAGTTATTACATTTCACTTTTATTATGTAACATTTCTTTTGCCTCAATTTCAAACTCCTCGGTAAATTAACGCTTTTGGATTTTTTTCCCTGACTACAGGGTCATGAAAAATGTGCCTTGTTAATACTTGACAAGATCCAAGAACAGAGCCTTATTAATGCAAAAAATAATGCATTGCAGACGTAAGTATAGCCTGATCCTCTCAAGTTCAGTTGATTTACCGGAATATTCCAGTTTACCATTTCAAATTCATGTCTCAGATTACTTAATACAACAGTAGAGTTAATTTCTGATTTTTTGAATGCTTTCCCTTGAAAAAGACCCAAATTGTATTGCATTCTCACTTTTAATTTTGATTCTGTTCATGCCATTTCTGTGCATGATCTGGTGGAAAAATTATATGAGGTCATTTATTTGAAGACTAGATCAAAATGTTTATTAATCATGTGAATGTGTAAGTATACATCTGGCATTTTCTAGTGAGCTTCACCCTAAATTTAAATAATTTATTTAGAGTTACTTAGACTTAAGGTGGTACATTTAGTTCTCTGAAGGTTTTTTAGGTGATATTTTATGTGGAATTTCTGTCCATAGCATATGTTATCAGCTGCAACTATTTGCTGGCTTGGGGGAATCCCACCACAGGAGATTCAACCATGAGTTCAGGTGGCAGATCACCTAGAGCTTGCAGAAGAATTAATTCCATCTTAGCTCTTTTTTCCCCCTCTTCCAACATGAAAATGTTTTTCCTCTCCTGCTAGCTGTTCCCAAACCAGAGCATTGGGTGTTGGGCCAGGAAAGGAACAAACCAATGCCTATTTTTAATTTCCAGCTGCTCTGCAGTAACAGAGATTAGCAATTGAGTATTCAAGGATAAAAAGGCAATACAATGATATTGAGCAGCCTGTAGCAGCCACAGTTAAGGACAGAACACAGGCATTTCTTCAGTCTTGGATTCCTTTTCCTTTTAAACATCAATTGTGTGCTGCAAACAGTGCAAAAATGAGAAACTTTTAAAGAAAGTCTTTAGGCTAAAAAGTATTAAGCAGTCTTTGTGTGCTTGCACAAAAAAGTTCTTGGTTTATAGATGTGGAACATGACAATTATTTCAAAGGCTGCAATAAAATTTAGTGTCTATGATATAATTCTAATGATCCAAGGAAGGAAACCATTCTGTTTCAGATGCTGGGTGTGCTTTAAGCATTGTCTAGCTTTGTTTAGAAAATCTGTTGTAAACTGAAGTTGAATTTAGTTATGTTTTTGTAGACCTCTTCATATTGCTGCACGAAATGGCCTAAAGATGGTGGTTGAGGAGCTGCTGGCCAAAGGGGCCTGTGTCCTGGCAGTGGATGAAAATGGTAAGTAAATGATACACTTTGACAATCTTCAGTTGGACCCAAGAGGTAATTTTACAACAGACTGAAGCAATAGACTTAAAAGGTGATGATAGACTTCATTGATGCTTTTATCCTTCCAAGAACAGTCAGTGTGTTGTGTGAGTACCTATTTAAAAAAAATAAAATTAAAAGATACACTTTCTTTAGTACAAGAATCTACTTTAAACATCACAGTGGTCCCTTTTACTGTTCATTTTGCATGTACTGTCAACAGCTAGACTTTTTTAATGCCTGAGTGCAGTGGTAACTTGAATTTCCTAAACATGCAAGTGGCACCGGATAATTCTGACGCCTTGCAGAAGAATTAAGGAATTTGCATTCAATCAGCGCATGTTTTAATGGGTAGGAAGAAAACCATCAACATATGTTTGAGTGTGTCCCAGCTCATTCTGAGATCAAACCTTGTGCTTGCCAATTATCTGACCAGGATGCAATTAAATTACTGCTGTCTCGTAAAAATACAGAATTGGTTACTAAATTAAATAATTTTATTTCAGACTTCAATGAAGCCCTTCCCTAAAAATTATAAGGAATTAGAGAGGGATGTGATTCTACAATTATAGTTTTAAAAAATATCTTCCTGAAATAAGTTGGTCTTTCTTACAATACTAACTTAATGGCATTAATGTAACAATTCCATCTTTCCATATCTGTAAAGTGACACTAAATAAAGTAACTACTCACCCGTCATTGCAAGACATTTGAGATCTGGGGATGAAAAGAACTGAGTGGTATTTACTACAAGCCAAATGCTACTTAGCTATATTTGCATGACTGAGTTCCACAGATGTCACCTGACCCTAACCTCACTTTAGAGATAGGGGACAGAAAAATTAATCAGACTATCTTCTACCAACAGATTTTATCCTTAAAATAGTACATACAGGTTCAGCTAATTTGTATGTAATAAATGACAATTAAGTTTAAATTTTATACACATTTAGTTTTTCTAGGAACAGCATGCACCTTTTAAAAGAGAGATGTTCAAGTAGAATCTTAGCATACTTACAGATAAAGAATATTAACACTTGGAACACATGGAACTTACATGGAAGAGGAAATGCACTGACTGCAATCAGTGCTTAAATGTGGGTATTTTGCAACAAAACTATTCACTTTTTGCCTACCAAGTTTGTCTGTGCTGCAGATCTTGGCTTCCTCGAGGCAGTAGGTACCAGAAGTGGGCACTGCCTCATGTTAATATCGCTGCAGTGCTGGAGATTTAACCATCTGCAAAAGAATTTTTCAGTTCTTAGCATAAAAGGAGGATTTGTTGGAAAGGGCTGGAGTTCTGCACAGCAGTGTGTGAAATGTACAGACAGTAAGTGTAATGAGCACACTGGCTTCCAGGGCTCGTGTACATGAAGAGCTGCTTCAGGGCAGTGCTTAGACAGGACCCAAGTTAAACTGCAGTGAAGACAAACTTCTAATAGCTCCCCAGTCCTTCGTTTGACTGACATTGGAGTCTTATTAGCTCTTAGTATTATCTTAGCTTATTAGTATTTGAAGTGTATGCCATGCTTGCTGAATACAGCTAATATTTTTTTAACACAATATACATTTGGGCAACTAAACATCCACGTTTAGTTGGGCAACTAAACATCCAGTCACACCTGCTATCCATGTACCCCCTGCACTGGTCTAATTATTTTATAATATGATTCCTAAATAAACTACTTGCCAAGTTAGATACTCAACTGATCAATCTTTAAAATCGTTTGCTCATTAAATCAGAACTTTTTAAACTAATATCTTTCATGTTCAACGCAAGCTGTTGTTCTCAGAATGAGACTCGTTCATGCACAGAAACGACGGCAGTTTCTGTCCCTGTGCTGTAGTCCCTGTGTTGTGTATGGCCACGCTGTGTGTGCTCTAGAGCCGTGTTTAGCGAGTGCTTTGGTTGAACTGGCACGGTGTTTGCTGCCTGGTTTCACACAAGCAGTGCTTGTTGTGGCCCCGGTGACTGCGGTGCCCCCAGTGTCTCTCCCAGCATGTCCCGTGTGAGTGAGTAACACGCCTGGCATGTGTAACCCCATCCACGTCCCCAGTGTCCCTAGAGATGTACCTGAGGAATGCCGGGTGCCCCAGGTGCCCTCAGTACTAACCATTGCCTTGTCTGCGTTTGTGCCCAGGTCATACGCCAGCCCTGGCTTGTGCTCCTAACAAAGACGTGGCTGACTGCCTGGCACTCATTTTGGCTACCATGATGCCTTTTTCTCCCTCCAGTTCAGTGACGGCTTTCAACTTCACTTGTTTTAAAAAAGACAATTTGGGCAGGACACACCTCTGCGATGGCTCCGCTGTGGGCGGCATTAACTCTTACGATAAGCCCTTGAGTAATAACATAGGAACAGAGGATGGGTACAATGAAAATGATTCGGATTCTGAAACATTTTGACTAGTTGGTATTCGAAAACTTCTTTCGTTATTATTTCGTTTCAGCTTTAATTTTTGTCTTTTTAAACAGCTTAAATCCCACAGTTATATTCTTAACTATTATTCTTGACAAGAAGGTATGGAAAGATTTGTAGTGCTGATGAGAATCAAGCCTTTAAATAACAAAATTAGAGGGATTTACTGGAACATATTCCTATTAGAGTTCTGCAGCTTTTCAGTTTCCTGATGTTTTCTTTAGGCCCAAAGTGCCCCTGTGAAAAGTCTCTACCTCTTATTTTAAGTAGAAAAAGAGAAAATGCCTTTTTTTCTTTTTGACAGCACAAATAAACAGGGAACTGCTTGTTCTTTCATGTTTTAGCTGCACCTTTAGTGCACAATCCTATTTCCAGCATAGCCTTTGAGCATCAGATTTGAGCATCACCCCTTTCCTATGTTTGTCTGTTTCCTGCTTCCAGGGGCTCTGTTAATTAGATAATTTTTTTACATGAACCAAAGGTAAAGTTGTAATCTTAAAACTGCCTGTATTACTTTTCTACAGGAAATGAAACCTTTTACATTCTGCCTGTATTAAGCACTTAAACGTACAGAAGGCACTTTTTACAGTTTTAAGTTGCAGTACACAATTAGAAAAATGGAGTTGTTAACTCTAAAGGCCAAATTCTGCTCATCTCACCATATTTTCCCATGAACATCACTTCTGTAAAATGCTAATCACTTGGCCCTTATTTTTTTTCAATTCAGCACAAATGTTTATTTGCACTACAGAATTAGGGTCATTAGATTTTTCTGTCTCCTGAGCCATGAATCATGAATCCAGTACCAGAAAAAAAAGGGGAGAGGGGGAGAAATCAGGTGTAGACAAAGATGTACGTAAAAGTTTATAATGATTTGCCAACTTAAGTGGCGCTTTTTTCCTTTTCTATGGTTAAATAATTTATTTTTACTGTGAACAGTATTGAATTTTAAAATACTTTTGCCAGTGTTTGGATTAACAGAGCAAAGGCAAAGCAATGAAAGCGTAACACCAAAAGGTGAAATACCAAACACCAGAAACATTAGCAGTGTACCGTGTAGGGGACACAGAGATAGATGCTAAAAAGCCTTTTGTCACCAGCTTTTAAAGCAGTGTCAACTTTGTGAATATGTTTACTCCTTCTGCCAAAGTTTCTAGGTCAAATGGACCCCGACCCTCCTCTGCAACAGATGTACAAAAGGAAGAATGAGACTTTGTAAACAAAAACAAAAAAACACAAACAAAAAAACTGTCATGAACTAACCAGCTGTACCAAGAGGACCAAAATGCTTCAGTAATTCAATTGAAGACTTTACTACTTTTATTTTTCTGTTCATATGTGAGTGACATAATGAAGTAGTTTTTTCTAAATGATAAAAATATAAACTTTTGAGGTGAAAGTAGTCTTGGGTGAATTTTACATTTTATGACACAGGTTTCAAGTTGACATTTTTAACTGATGATGTGTTGACCACAGGTGGGTTTTTTTCCCAGACTTAAGAATATGTTCATATACTTTTAATGTAGATGTGTTTCTATTTATTTGAAATGAAACAAATGCCCAGGAAAAATCACTATGCTTGTTCTCCTAGTTAGCATTCATGCATACTGAAATGAAATGTGAATCTGGCAAGACTGAGGGCCTGAGGAGCAAAAGGAAGGGTGGATGCACACTGGGAGAGTGCCCATCTTGTATGGAATGCAAAGGACCACTGTCTGTGTGGGGGAAAAAGCTGAAACCAAAACACCTTCCTTTGTTTAAGAGCTTAAGAAGCTCAGACTTGCCAGACAGGTGAGAAAACCCACCCAGCTGTGGCAGAGCATGGAGTCAGGCGTTCCTGTTCCTGTCACACTCAGCTTGTCTCAGGCCTGTGTCTGTGCTGGGAGGGTGAGATGAACTTCCTCGGTGCTCGCTTTTGGCAGAGTAAAGGAAAAGTAAGGATTTGAATGTTAGTTGCAGTTTTTAGCCCTGTTCTGCTGGATTGTTGAAAATCTATTGGCAGATTTCAGTTCTTTAATTACTAAAAAAAATTTGATATAGTAAGTTTATTTTGCCTTACTAAAATTGAGCATTTTTTCCTTGAACGTTAGCAATCTTCCAAAGTTTACAGCTAAAAAATCTCCCTTTTCTCTCAACTCTGTAGTTTCTACAGTAGAATGACAGAGAACCTGAAACCTTGGTTTTCTCCTCAGAAATAGCACCAAATAACATTTTAATTGGTTTTTCTCAGCATTTTTGCTTTTAAAAGTTGCCGAATAGCAATAACCATCGTACTTAAATCACTGGAAATAAGAGGAGAGCGCAATTGTTAAAATTTTCAGTGGTGCCTGTTCCAAAATTAACAGTAATCCCAAATTTTGGGGTTTTTAATGTAGAAGGATGGCATTGAAAACAAACATATGGGAAATAGCTGCCACCTGTCTAACAGCAGAATCAGCATTTTAATCTTATTTTAAGCAGAAATGTAGGCAGGCTCCTTGGCAGGATTAGTTGTAAGTCTCACCCTGAAATACAGCAAATTACGCTATCCTACATGACAGTGCTTCATTAAGAGAAACCAGCCCTCTTTATAAAAAAGTTGTTACATTATTTGAAGCAGCCATTTTTAAAGTTTCAGTATTTTCACCTGCTGCCCATGCAGTTACCAAAAATTTTCTAATGGCGATACCTCCTAACACTGGTAACTGTGTGGTGCAACAGCTGCTGCCTCTCAGCGCATCCCAGAGGCAGAGGTGATTTGTTTCTGAGTCACGCTGGTCCTTCCAGGAGCCAAATCCAACCTTTAGCCATGGAACCCCTCAATGCTGCCAGGATGCAGCATTCCAAAGAGCACAGGATCATACACTGTGCTCACCTCCAGGGCACTGCACAGGTCGTGTTTTGAGGGTGCTGGATTTAGGAGGAAGACTGCCACGAGCGAGACACTCGGACGTGCTCAGTGTTGGCCTCTCCCACATCTCTTGTGAGTTACCAGAATCCCTTTTTTTTGTATGCTAGCACATTAATCTGTAATTTATCACATGTAGAAATCAGTGTGTAGTGTAGGGCAGGTATACAAGCATGCGAGTAATGTTACTCTTGTAAATAATCTCCTTGCCTTTCTGTGGACTCCTTACAAGAGTAATCATACAGAATCATTGCACTTAACCCTGGATCCTGCAGCTTACAGGAGGTGGACAACCTCTGTGTCTGCACCCAGCAGAGGGCACTTGGGGAGGGGCAGCTCCCTGCCCAGGTGTCCTGGCAGGATCGTTTCATCCTGTATTTTAACCACAGCTGCAGGTGGAATCCAGAGCAGGATGGGCTCCCAAGTCTCTCTCACAAATACTGAGTCACAACCTCCGGACTGCCTGAAATAGCTGTGAAATAGCTCAGGGGATTTCTGTTCATCGCTACTAAAAGGGCACCATAATGTGTTTGGTACTTTTATGCAGTCAGCAACTGCCAGGTTATTGAATTGGAACAAACACATGAAATGAATTGTTTATCCATTGTACTGTTGAGAAACTTGGTTATGTATTTGAGGATGATTTAAAAAAAATTGTGATTTTTTTATTCTTAGTCATGTAAGAAATATTAGAGTGCCTTTTTATATTTGTGTATAATGGAAATGTTTTGTGAAACTTGTCTCTTTTTTTTTCATTTGAGTGTTATAAAAGCAATATATTACCAGTAAATTTTCATTTCAGACCTTCTTTGAATGTATAAAGTGTTTCTTCTTTTCATATGTTCTACCTGCATTGAAATGAAAATTAATATGCTAAATTTCTATAGGAATAATGTATAATTTTCGCAGTGCTGAAAATGCTTTCTTATTACACAAAAAGTAAACTTAGGTCAGTGTTATAGGAAAGGGCGTTTTAAACTAGTGACAATCTTGAGTGTGTGTATAAAATGTAATTTTATGCATTTCTTATGCAGTGATCTACATATTAAAGCCAATATCTTATGTTTTGTAGGTTTTGTCTTATATTTTATGCTTTAGCATGTGCAATATATCTTTACAAACCATGGTGATACGCATCTGGTGCCAGTGTTATATTTTGCATAACATTTGTAATAAACTATATAAAACATTGTTTGATGGTTTCGGTGGGGTTTTGTCAGTATTGTTTGCTTTTGTAAATTGAAGTTTAAGGACTTGGGTAAATGTCACATATGAAATGAGGAGAAAAAAACTTAATTCATTGAATGACTTGGAATTCAACCTGGATCTTCTCGAGCACAATTTAGTAACTTTTTAAACTACTGAATGCTGTATTAATGTAATAAAGAGCCCTAACTGTAAACTACTCTTGCAATGCATTCAGATGGGTTATTTTTACAAATAAAAATGGTACAAATACAGCGGAAAATGGAGTCAGTTTTGTTTCTTTCGGAAAGAATTCTTTTGGGAATATTGAAGAAGAAGTGAAGTGAAGAAGAAAATGCAACTACTTCGTACTTCCCTCATATGTAAATACCATTTGCCCTAGAAAGCTGATTTTGCTTTTTCCGTAGATTCGGGGAAGGTGGGGAAGCAAAATAAAGCACCACAGTAATTTTTAAAAAAATCTGTTTTGCTCCGTTATTAGATATCTTGGTGTTTTCCCTGGTGAGCCCCACCCGCAGTGCTGGGTGTGCCCTGCAGCCGGCTGGGGCAGCAGCCCCACAGGGACCAAAATGCAGCACAGAGCGTCAAGCTAGCGGCAGCAAGGTGTTAGAAGTACCCGAATTAAAGCAAACAAACAAACCCAAATCCCCACCAGCGCTTTTTAGGTGGTGAGTGCCTGCAACCTTATGGGCGTTTATCACTGAGCCGCTCCCCCAGGGCAGGGTCCCCCAGGGTTTATTTTCGGCCAGCTGTGGGGCCCGGCGGTGCCGGCTGTGCCCCCTCACGGCCCCGGCGCGCCGCCCTCCCCATCATGGCGGACCCGCCTCCCCCGACATGGCGGGCGGGCCCCTCGGCCCGGCGCCGCCTGACCTCCCCAACATGGCGGCCGCCCCCTGGCGCCGGCCAGGTTGAGGCG